TGCATCATCGGCAAACTGAGAGATTTTTTAAAGTTTTACAAACTTAACATGACGTTACAAACTTAACATGACGTCATGAACAAAACAAGGCACTGAATATTTATAATGTCTGCATGGAAACAACTTGATTTACAAAAGAGATTAACAACGATGTTAGCAGATTCATTGAAATGGGGACACTTGGCAAAAGAAAAGGTGTATATCCGAAAAAAGGCAGATTTGTCCAGTTTGGGTCTTAAGAAATTTAAAGAAAAAATCAAACACTTAACGATGACTAAAATTCACGAGACGAGGCAATGATTGTGATTTGAGAAAGTCTAAGATGCGCCCCTCTCGGTAATAGAAAAGCCCCGGCTGGAATCGTTTTAGGTCGATTGAGGGCACAATTAGTCTATGTATATAGACCATGGCGAAACAGGAGACTGGGCTCCGTGGATAACGAATGATACTCAAATATCGACTAGGGCACAATAAGAGGAAGGGGGAGATCATTTTCCAATGTCATAAATACAACAAGGGAACAACTAAGAGGCAAATAACCAATAAAAAGGGCGTCTATTCTATTAAAGCAGTAGTGCAAAATGAAGATGCGTGTATTATTCAACAGGAATAAACAAACAAATCAACAACTGACACATAAGTTTAAAAAAAACAAGGTGCGATGACGAATATCTTTTTAAGTTGTCGTCCACATAAGTTAATGACCCTCTATTTTTTGGAAGCTCTATCATCGACAAGTCCGTTGTTTTCAAAAATAGGTGCTACTGAAATTAGCTAAGTGCTAAGTGGTTTACTTAACTAGTTTAAAAAAGACGATCGTAAGGTATCATCAAGGACAGTATACAAAAGTAATGTATTGACGGACGGCCTAAATAAAAGGAAACATAACATGCATTGCGACCAAACTAAGTGATGTAGACTCAACTGTTTTATGATGAATTATAATATGATGAAGTCTTCACTTATCAGTGCGAACTCGGACTATTTAGTATATCCAACTTGTGATATTATTGTATGTATAGTGGAAACCCAGTTGCTACTGACTTGTTGCGCTTCGCTTTAGTGAAACGTATTGTATTCTACCTGTATCAACCCAAGCTTAAGAAAAAGTTAAACATGTACTACAAAATATCTTCGGAATTATTTTCAAGTAAAACAGGAGAAAAAAACTCACCTTTCTACTCGTCATTGCTCACTCTCACTAGAGACAATCTCAGTATTGTCTCAAGACAGAAGTTAGTACTCAAAAATCGCTTCCAAATCGCTCGAAATAGAATCGTCCAACGATGTGATCGCTGAATAACAATAGTGGGTTCTGAATCCTTGGGGCCGATTCAGTTACATATAAAACATTTTTTGTTGATTTTATTCTTAATTTGCATATGTATATCGTTAAACCATGACGTAACAAATGTACTTGGACTTTTGCCAGCACGCACGTGTAACATTTACATCTTCAAATCGTCTTGCGAGCCAATCCGCACCATGATACGCGTCCGCTGCGCGTTCCACAAACGCGCACACGTGTGTCCTTTTGTCTACTTCATAATGCCGGCTTAAAATGACGTCAGTCTGACGAAGAAAGTTAGTTCATTAGTTGTAAAGGTTGAGATCCGCGAAAACGGGTTACAGCTAGTTTTTTAAAATGGAGACAGGAATCTGCACAATATTGTGGGGTGTCTTTTTTGTTTTTTGTTTTGTTTTTGTTTCTTGATTTTTTTGCAACTATTGATAAAACACCACAACTTTCAAAACAGGAAACGCGTACAATCCTCAATGTTAGTCTTTCTTATTTTATCTATCGTTCTTTTCCCATCTATTTCTGTTTTATTTTTTTATGACCCCCCCCCCTTTTTATTCATTGTATTGCCCAAAAAGCTGCCGCCTCCTTAGTGCTCGAGCGCATTTTGAGTAACAAAATTACAAAATACGGAACACTTCCGGACTGAAATAACCAGGCGTGATTTCTTTCAGTATTGTGATTATAGTAATATACAATGCATCTCTTAAATTCCTATAGTTAAAAAAAACCTTGTCAAAAAGAAATTAATCTTTTTGAGTGAGGGCGGACAAAATAGGAAGGCGCTTTATTTGGGTAAATTTTGGGTCTAAGACAAAAATGTACACGCAAGGTTAACGTAATTTGTCACTCATTTCTTTTTCAAATTCACCAATTCTTCATGTGTTTATTTCAACGAAGTTTTAATCGCATCCTACAATAACTGTGTTTTTCATTAATTGCATGTGCTCTATACAAACACATTGGAATATCAAATCTAAGCATCAAACTGATTTTAAATGCTGATCACTAAAAAGTAATCATTTGTACAACTCCAAAAATACGATCCACCTTTATCTTATTTCACAGAAACAGGAACACTACCTTAACCGAAGCTGTGATCCATTGTAGAAAATTAAAAAAAACCCACAAATTTACTAGAAAAGAAATTGTTTAACAAATGCAACCAAACATAATAATTGCTAATGTTAATCAAGCTGTAAAAAAAAAGTATAATTTTTTACTTAAAAAAAACCAACACACCAATTGTTCCATTTTTTCAGTCCCTGCTATTTTTCTGGCAACACACCAGTTAGCTTTGGCAGTATAATATAGGATTTGCAAAATAAACGCATAGCAGCTTAAGGCAGGGTGCATGAAAAAGGAAATACGCTTTTTGTGCTTAATAAACCAAACCAAAGCAAATCAAAACAAATAATTAAAAATAAGTTGTTTCGTCCGGAGAAAGTCTGAAATTTAGGCATTTGAATATGAAATCTGTACACTTTTGTCATTAAACAGTTATCATTGTAGTAATACGTCTTTAGTAGTACCTGTGTACCAAAATTCCCTACTCCAGGGGCGTAAATCCGGGGGGGGGGGGGGGGGGGTATATATCCACGTCACTTTTTGACGGGGGGATGGGCCATTGCATCCTCCCCCCCCCCCCCCCCCCCCCCCCCCCACCCCCCCCCCCCCCCCCCCCCCCCCCCCCCCCCCCCCACAGACCATGATATGAGTGCAAGCTACCCATGCATGTAAATACAAATATTGTATTCTGGTAAAGAATAAAAGGAAGCCACCATACATAGCCCTAACACCTAAAGCCCGGTTCATACTTCCTGCGGAATGTGTTCAACTTTTACGAATTCGCAGCGCGAATACTTGCCATGACGTCACAAATTCGTGTTCGCTTTCGCGTCAAGTATGAACCGGGCTTAACACAATTATTTTCCTATGCAGGATATAATACAAAGATCACATTTATACAAAAATATAGCAAATAATAAACATAAATAAAATTATTCTATACTGAGCACACCCTAACATTCATGCCTCAACCCTTACTCTGCCCAAATCTAGTGATCGTACAGCATATTGAAGTATTTTACAAATACATGAATAATTAATAAAATTCACTTGGAATGAATACACACATGTACATAATAATGCCCATTAGAGTCTGTTAGAGTCTGTGGATATTAGTCTTTTCTTATTGTCTTGACATCTAGATGGAATACGACTGCGTAGAATTGTGTCAAATGATATATAGGATCTGTTGATTAAATAATGAAAAGCAGCATTTCTAAAAAAAAAAACCTTGAACATTGAAATCAAGTCTAAAATAAGGGCATTGAACAAGCATACTTGGTACAAAACCATAACAGCACTTCAGCTTCTAGCCAATGCTGATTCGAATTTAATTATTGAGGAATGAATTCAGTGCAGTATTTGTTATAGATGACACGGTTGATGGAATCGTGTCTGAAAGATTGTGCAAAATTAAAATGCTTGTTCATTAATTAAATAATTGTTGGGATTTTGTGGAAGAAAATGTTTGTTCTATTTTTAATCAATGAACAGTGAAGTTAACAGCGCCATGACGGGATACATTTTTCATTTCATCCTACAGAAATCACTCCTGTATGTCACTCATCATGTGCTAAATTTCAAAACAAATATTTTGAGACAGATAATCATGCTTTACAGAGAGATAACGTATCTCTAACGACTTCTCATTAGTGATACCTCACTATTCACATAGACTCTTTATAGATGGAGGTTTCTCCAATGTACAATTTGCTGGTGAAAACTGGGACTGAATACGAAAGAATCGCCACTGCCAAAGTCTACTCCACTTGCAAACAAAGACTCTTTGCGTAGTCACTCATTATGTACAGATTGCTCAGCCACTCCATGGGAATCTATCCATGTGACTAAAACCTGCAAAGCTATCGAACATTTTCCACCTCTAGATGTGCATACCTTGCCAACATGGCTATGAGCATTGCTCCTTTCGATCATTTGATACCGGTGGCCCAATTTTTGGACCGAAGCTGATAGCCTATAACACAGCAAAGCAAGGAAAAGCAACTTATGTGAATTTAAAAAGTGCCCATTTGGTTTTCATTGCATGGTGAATTAGAGTCGGTATATTATAGAGTTTCCCCCAAACCTTTAATAGACCGATCCACTAAGCCCCGCCTGCATGATGTTTTGACCAATCACAGCCGTGAAGTATATTCAGCGTGCGTGCCCACATATCTGGATTATGCAATGAAGCGTTGGATTGGTGCACATTTGTAGGTTACATGCGCTGTGGGCGGACCTAATGGCTCAGTCAACAGATAACAGCTCATGGCCCCTGCACATGAATTATGCCAGTAAGAGGACATTACCATTTGCCTCTTTGAGATATGGCTAGCAGAATAGGAGGATTGTACTCGGTTTGCTAAACTCTTTTGAATTTACCCAAACCACATGTCAGCCTTCTGTTGTCCCCACCACATCTCAAACAGGCTGCAAATATTCTACAAATAATGAATGATTCTGAGTGCAATGGCAAGAATAATTTCATGAGGTGACAGATGGAATGTTCCATTCTACGAGGCGAAGCCAAGTGGAATGGAACATTCCATCTGGCACCGCATGAAATTATTCTTTCCATTGTGCAAATGTAAAACATTCATTATTTGTTTTATGCAACACCTGAATAAATCCTCGTCATCTGATTGGTCAGAGCCACCAATCATGTGACCGTGCAATAGAACTTCTATTTACAGTGGAATGGAACTTCTATTTTTGCGGTGCGGCCGGGCTGTGGGTTGGGACAAATAAGTCAATGACATGTGATCAACGACCCACCAATCAGACGACGGGGATTTATTCAGGCGTTGTATAAAAAGATACAATCTGTAGTCTACCTGTTTATCTAACAGTACTTTTTGTCTATGAAACTTAAAATACCCTACATACATTGTATATAGTTCAACGCACTCTAGTGATCTATGCACATACAATAATTCTCAAACTCCACGACAGGGGAAGTTCTTACAAGACAAAGCCATTTTTGAAACCCTGACTATAATTACGTGTCAACATTGGGTGGACGGGCAACTGGTGGAGCATCAGCTTGGGAAATTCAAAGACTCTCACTGTTCGGCACGTGTAAGTTCCACACAAGTCATTCTCACAGTAGATGAACAGTCGATGGCTCTTGGCGAGTACTGGGTTGAGCTCCATAGGAGGGGCATAATGCGTGCAAACACTGGTTCTTGAGCGTATGCACGAACTGTGCACAAATCCTAATTGTCTTCACGTGAGCACCGGGCATGTGGCAGCAATGCGTTCAGGTGCCCACCTGGCTCTCTCACTGTAGCCTAATGAGGGGGTACTCATGCGATGAGTCCATACCAACATGTAGTGCACAGATCTTCAGCAACGTGTCACAATGCGTGCTTGCCACACACCCACTTCAGTTGCAGGTCCTGTTCAACCTTGGAGACAGTCTTGACTGACCGCCACATACACTGGCACGCATATGCTCGACTACCTGTAAGGATGGGGGAAAAAATTAAGAATTGAAGTCAGCAGTGGGCAGAACTTTCCTGAAAGTAAAGTCTGTCACGAGCCAATATGGCCCATCAGGCTGGCATTAATGTCCAGTTTCCTTGGCATGAAACGACTGAGAATATTTCAAGTCCCCCTGGATGGGATGCCAGTCCATCGCAGGTAACTCCCCAGCTAATGCCTGGGTGGAGAGAGGCAAGTTTGGGTGAAGTGGCTTGCCCAAGGACACAATATGGCCAGCAGCTGGATTCGAATCCCTGACCCTCTGATCATGAGTCACCAACCCTAACCACTAGGCCACACTCCCCCTTCTGAACTGAAAAAAAATTGGGTATGCAAAAGAAGGATGCACTTCATGCATTTCAACAAATGGGTGAAGCAGATAAACCCCTGACCTCAAAAGTTGAAAGCACAAAACAAAATATCCAGTCTGAACTTTTGAACAAATAAATAAAAAAAAATTACACATAAATAAGACAACGTCATGTTCTGCTGTATGAGGCCTACCTCTCCGCTTTTTTAACTTGGCGCTCAGTTTCTTGAAGTCGGGAACGTTATTCCTGAAGAAGAGATAATCGCAGGTAGAGTCCCACTCGTAATTGTCGAAAGCTACGATCTTGAAATCGCAAGATGTACACCGCAACTGATCACACATCCTGAAATGAGAGTCAGTCATTGCAAAACATTATTAGAAGAGGAAAAGCTTGATTAATACTCATCCGAAAGAATAGGTTTTTGCACCACACTGAAGTAAATATTAACTGTACACATACAGATATATATATATTGCAGGCTTGCAATTGACTTATCGCCATTTGCGCGTTAGCCACACCCCTTAGACAACCCTATGGAATTTTAGTACGCTAAGTTTTGTTTGTCTCAGATGTTGCGCGTTCCACATCCGTTTGTAAATCATGTAATTGGCCAATACTTCACAAGCTGCGTTGACGGAATTCTAACTTGATTCTACAATGTTCTAATGCGATAGGTCAATTGAGGTCAATAGCATTTACAATGACATTACACTTTGTTGACGCACATGCTTTCATATAGACTTCGTGCACAAGTACCCCCTCAATGGTAACAAGGGGAGACTTCGGGGAAACCACTGGGAGAGACAATCAAACGCAAGGCTGATGACACCTGACGCTAACGGGTCTTTACCTCTGTGATACAGCTGAGCTCAATCCCATAGGATCTGCACTGCCTCCGAGGTACACTGGGTTGCACCTTCGCTGCGATATGCTTGCTGTTCTTGAAGGAGTTGTGTAACTTGACTGACTGTTCTGTCTTTGGAGTGATTTCTGTCGACATGAAATACACAATATTGTCTTTACAATTTTTTAAGGGGAGTCAGGTTGGTGTAGCGGTACTTTCCTCGCCTTCCACCGCTGTGACCTGGGTTCGAATCCCGCCTGGGCCAATATGTGGATTGGGTTTTCAGTCCCTGCCTGATTCCGTGGGTTTTCCCAAATATCTTCTGGACTTTTCCTCCCACCTCTAAAACTGTAATTTCTTCTCATTGTCTTCTCTCCGCAGGTTTCTTCAGGCTTGCGAGCTACGGTGCCTAGGGCGCTTTTGAGGAATCCTTGGTTTCATTACCAGAAATGATTAATAATAATTAATAATAACCCTAACTCCCTACTTGTCCCTGACACGTGTGGTAAAGCCACCCTGTCTGTAGAGATCGCTATCAACAAGAGTAATCAGATCCTGTCTTGGGAAGTTCGGCAGTGCTACCCATGCACGCACCAGAGGTATGCTCAGAATGTCCTGGATAGTGTTACAAATATTCCCAAAACCTGATTTAATATTTATGTAGTTTATATCAGGACCTCTACCTCCATGGGGCTTTGGGGAGGCTGGGGAGGAAAATAAAAACCAAATACAGTCTTGGACTAAGACTAATAAATGTTCACGTACATATTCATCGTTGAGGGACAAAACCCGATTTTTAGATGCATGGTTTTGATCTGTTGTTGCTGGTAATCATGCCCTGGTGCTGCATTCACATGAATGTAACCAGTTTTTTTTAAAGGGAATGTACAACATTTGCTCTTGCTGCAATTTTCAGTAGTAAATGGATTTGGGGGATAAGAATGTTATAGCAAATATTGTTAAACTAACTTGTTTCACGTTTTGGGCTTGAAGATGCTGGAAAAAAAACAAGAAAAAACATCATGTTTTTGTAGTCTGGTTCCCTTTATACCCCACTTAAGATGAAACATAGCAGTTTTTAAACTTTGGGGAATTGTAAGGTCAGAGAATGAGTCCGGCAGGCTTGTACCCCTTCACAGGTGTGTCATCAATTGCAAAGAAAATGCGGAAAAACTAATTCTGAAAAATTAAGAGCAGCTTTTGAAAAAAAAAACAGTTTTCTCCAACGCTGGTCGGCCAACCAGCGTTGGAAAAATACCACTTTTCTTGAAAATGTCAGCACACCAGGAGCCACGATTTTACAGGATGCTTTAGACTGTCATTCCCTAACAATCCTGTTTAGGTATTTTGTGATAATTGGATCATTTCGTTTTTTGATGTTTGCAAAATGTTGTATCTTCCCTTTCAGCTGGACTCACCGGTGGTTCTGGGCCATCTATGATGTCATCTATCATGGAATTCAAGTCATCGTCTTCGCCTGATAGCTTCTTGGCACTGCTGGTAAAGTAGAAAATAAAAATACTCTCACTCAAATAAAGTCATGGTAATAGCAAGTCCAAAAAATACACAACTCAATGGAGCTAGTGTTCCATTTTCATTGCTTAGAAAGTCAATTCAATCATCAATGTTGTCTCTAGACATTTAAAATCTATGATTAAAATTAATAAAAAAGTTTGCATACAAAAAAATAGTTTGTAAGCACCTTTCCTTTAAAGCAGAGTTTAAATAACTAAATTAATTTGTCAACTAATATAACTGGGGATTTCTTTGTGTTCCGTGTTCCTAATGCCATGATTTTTTAGGGGGGGGGGGGGATGGAGGGGAATTTTATATTGGGTGCCACAAGTTGCATATATGTAATTCTCAAATTCATAACAAAATGAGAGGGCATTGTGTGATGCATGTGCCATGATTATAAATATAAACATGGTTTTGTATTTAAGACAGATTTCTGTCACAACGCTTTTGTGAGATTTTAATTCATAACTTCATCAGAAAGATTTTTCATTGTCCTCAAACTCCTGTGCTATGTTTTGGTGTCATGGGTTTTCTGTAAAAACGGATGTGAAATTTTATCCAAAACTACCCAAGCTGCAAGAAATTATGAGTTGGATGTAAATACATACATGTACATATCATCATCATCATTTAAAATAAAAAAGTAACCCCCACTAACATATGTCTGAACAAATTACATGTCCCAAATGTTACAGAATTTTTATGGATGAAAGCCCAGCCACTTTTACTTTACCATGGGCAAAGAGTGTACTGTTGGTTACTATGTACTCAGTATTAGATTCTGAATATTAATTAAGTTACATGTAGCAAAAATACTACGATAGGTTTGAGAAAAATGCAAGTGGTTAATCTAGTGACGTGTTCAAGGAAGACAAATAATGAGCAGCTAAAGAAATGCACACTGCGTCAAGTCACGAGAGACTCCTACACCTTTTCTTAATTGCAAGGTAGCATAAACCTCATGCATCTTGTGGAGCAATGCAATAAAATAACCTAGCAACTGGTAACAAATCAATAGGTGGATGCAGTTGCCTGGCAACAGGCTCATAGACTTGGTCAAGTCCTTTGTTTCCTGATGCGCTCAGGATGTGCTGGTAAGGAAATTTTGCGATAATTTTGTTTTTCTGCATAATTATGACTTGCACAATTAAAACTTTCATGATGAGAAACATGGTCAAATTTAACCCAAAAAACTTTGACATTTTTAGCCAGGAACCTTCATGAATATGCCCAATAGCCAACACTGTCATGACTGTAAATAAACTTAAACTAAGGCATGTTCTTTTTAAGCAGTCCTCTACCTCTAGACATCTAGTATTCCTGTACAAATCCTGTAATCATTTCCAACAAACTTTTGCCATATTTTCCCTCAAAATTACTGGATAACTAAATGTCTAAATTGAGAAATAACAGTTTCCTGCTTTCGAACCTTAGCTTTCATAAAGTGAACATAAGGTGGAAAAAAAGTCTGGAGTTCAATTTCAACTTCAATGAACACAACTTTTCAGGCATTGCTGCATGGCTCACCATATGCAGGAATATTTTTCACGGAAGCTAAAATGGGGTTTTCACAAACAGAATTGTAACATAACATTGCAACTATAGGGCTTTAATTTCCTACAAAGAAGGAAGTGCTACAGAAGTTCAACAGGAAAAAAAGGATGATGCGTTCATATCTCAGACATAACTTTTATTGTCATTTGCCAACAACCGTGTTTTTAGATATGTTTTTGTTACTTTATTGTTTTGAATCAAATCCTACTTTTTTAAATTAAAGTAAAACTAATTTTTCTTTCTGAATAACATTGCTCATAAGGGTTTGTTCTTAAGTTGCATCTAAAAATCATTTGGTTGACAATTGACATGATGCCGCATATCTGCCATATGTGCAACAGTCAACTTAGCAGCAAAGATGTTTTTACTATGTGGGATGATCTAAACAGTTACCCTTCTAAGGCCAAAACAAAAATAGTTCTGCTTCCGATTACATGGCATTCGAAAATAGGGTAGGTAGGTAGGGATTTTTTTTTGGCCAATTTTTTGTGTGTACGATCATATGGAGGCATGTGCGTGTAGTCAAGGGTAAAAGGTATAAAGTGATGGTTTTTGGGTGTTTTTTGTCTCATTTTTCCAATAAAAATTAGGGTAGGGGCTGTCAGAATAGGGTAGGTAGGGAAACCGGAAGCAGAACTTGATATAAAGTTATGGTTTTGGGTGTTTTTTTCCTCATTTTTCCAATAAAAAAATAGGGTAGGGGCTGTCAGAATAGGGTAGGTAGGGAAACCGGAAGCAGAACTTTTCTTTTTTTGGGCCTAAACAGTTGGGTCTGTGGATAGAAAAGTTTAGATGTAGGCATAGAAATATAATGCTGTCAGTTTTGTAACTCATTTGCAGGGTATCATGCAACGGTGTAGCTACAGGGGGCAGGGGGGGGGGGCACCCCCCTTTCATATAAAAAAAATCTTCGGCCCCCAGCCACCCAGCCGCCGCCCTGGAAATTTGGCAACCCCAAGAAACATTTTCTGTTAATTTTTCCTGAAAACCTTTTTTGTTAATAGCGCCTCCTAATGTTTGACATTGCGCATGATGGAAAAATGGTATCAAGCGCGCCCCCCCCCCCTTTTATTTTACAGAGGCCAGAGGTCCGGTGTCAAAAACGAATGACATTGGGCGCCCCCCCCCCCCCCGTAACATCCTGCACCCCCCCCCCCCCCCCGTAACATCCTGCCCCCTGACCCCTACTCCTTCCCCCCCCCCCCCCCACCTCGCCACTGAGAACCCCCTGCCCCTACAGTGCATAATCAAGCTGAAATCTTTGTATACAAAGTAATCTAATAGTACTTGTACAGCCAAGATTAAGATCTTTAAATCATTGTATTTGTGTTACTGTTAATCATGTTAATTTGCTAACCTTTTCTTTGAGAGGGCGGGCTTTGATTCCTGGCCAGCTGGTTTCTTTGATTTGGAGCCGACAGGATTTTTCTCTTCTTGGCGACGACTGGAACTGTCCTTTTTCACTGGGGTTTTTGTGCAAAATTTGGTCTCCACTTCGTCTAGCAGATCGTCGATGTCGTCTGCCATGTTTGTACCGTATCATCTACCTAATTTCGATGATTATTGACATAATTCTAGTACAATTTATGTGATTATTTCGGTGCAACTAATCTTCCCCACCAACCTATCAATAATGAATTATGCATATCTCTGAGGTCAAGGGTCAAACTCGCAAACTCGATATTTTGTCAGTAGTCTCTTTTCAAACGTATTTTTCCTTGTGCCAATGTTTGAGATCACATCGAGTCAACAATATCGTATAACGCCCCCCCCCCCCCATTACGAAATGGATTCAGTTACACCATAGAGCATGTTCCTTGCTCGTACACCACTGATATGAATCTGAGCTGTATTTTGTAATCTATATCTGCATGACTAGCGTGCATTGCAAGTGTAACCTGCGTCAATTTAATATGGTGACGCGAGGATGAAGGGACATCTGCTTTTAAATATTAACAAGTATTTATTCAATACTTAAAGTGACTGTCGTGAGTGTGGTCCACTCAATAGAGCTAAGACATAATGAAGTCAGGCTTTATTTAAATATGTGCTTTCCTATACCCCACCTGGCCATAGGCGTAGCAGCGGGGGGGGGGGGGGGGGGGGTGGTAAGGGGGGTACTTACCACCTCAATATTTTGTAAAGACTGCCTTTTGCCATTTAAATGCCCTTTTTCAACGGGCATTTTGTCAGTAGTCTCTTTTCAAACGTATTTTTCCTTGTGCCAATGTTTGAGATCACATCGAGTCAACAATATCGTATAACGCCCCCCCCCCCATTACGAAATGGATTCAGTTACACCATAGAGCATGTTCCTTGCGTTGCAAGTGTAACCTGCGTCAATTTAATATGGTGACGCGAGGATGAAGGGACATCTGCTTTTAAATATTAACAAGTATTTATTCAATACTTAAAGTGACTGTCGTGAGTGTGGTCCACTCAATAGAGCTAAGACATAATGACGTCAGGCTTTATTTACATATGTGCTTTCCTATACCCCACCTGGCCATAGGCGTAGCAGCGGGGGTGGGGGGGGGGTGGTAAGGGGGGTACTTACCACCTCAATATTTTGTAAAGACTGCCTTTTGCCATTCAAATGCCCTTTTTCAACGGGCTTATCCCCCCCCCCCCCGCCCCGATAATTTGTAAAGAGTGCCCTTGTTTTTTAAGAAATGCCCTTTTTCTGATAAGGCCAAAAAAAAATAAGTCTCCGGTTTCTGGTATGGAGCTTGTCCAAAAAGTGGTGCGGCGACGCGGCTTTTTTTTTTTTTTACCTGACTTTTTTGCTTCAAATGTCGGCTGATGATTGCAAATGGTGCCCGACTAAACTTAGTGCAAATATATGGGAGTCCAGAGAGGCCACATAAAGCTTATTCTCGATCATAACCCCATCTAAAAACACGTTAAAATTGTGCAGTAGCAGGATTCTAGTCAAACCAGTGAGTTTGGCGGTTTTGAGACATCATCTTTCATTGAAAAAAAAACTTTTTCATTTTGCCGACGCGCATGGCTACGGCGACGCGCGCGCATACCAGAAACCGGAGACTTTTTGGGGGGGCCTAAAGTGCCCTTTTTTAAAAAGAAGTAGTGCCCTTTTTTGTGTCACCTGCCGTTTTAGCTGCCTTTTGCTGAATTTCGCACATGTATCGTGTGAAAAGCACCACATATTGACCGTTTGTGTGCATAATCGTCGGTTTTAAACAGCACCCCCATCGACAAATGGTACACCCCCCCCCACCTTTCGATTTTAGGGAGGCCAAGTGTCCCGAGAAACAACCTGTCTACATGTCACCACGGATGTGCAAGTGCCCTTTTCAAAATAATTTAACCCCCCCCCCCCCAATAAAAATGACCGTGCTACGCTCCTGCTGGCACCCGGGCCATAGGAAAACGCACATGTAAACAAAGACGGATGACGTATTCCATGGCGCATTAAATATTTCAACACGAAAAGAGACTAACTAAATCACAAGAGGGCGCTGTAATATGCGACACTTTAAGTCTGGTACCATTTTGAAGTGAACAGGTGCAACTTTATAACAATACTGGGGAGGTCAGGTGTTTCTCTCAGCTAAAACGTGCAAGTTTTGCGGCAGAAACTGTGTTGTTGCACAAGCACTCGTAAAATCGAAGGACGGAACAACTTAGGGTTAGCCAAAAAGTCATTCCACGCGAAGAAAAACAAGTTTTGCAACTGATAATTTGCTGTTTAAGGTATTGTGTTAGGCATTAAACCGAAAAAAGAAACAAACGGGAAAAGAAATGGCTGTTCGTGCACAGTTTGAGAACAGCAACGAGATTGGAGTGTTTGCCAAATTGACAAATGCGTACTGCTTAGCTGCCATCGGTGCGTCAGAAACTTTCTACAGGTAATAAATATACAAACAAGCAAGGGCGATCGTGTAGTCACTGGTAGTGTAGGGCCCCTCTTTTGTTTGATTAAATTGGTATTAATTCTTTCCCAGACTTAGTCTTAGGGCCTACTTTACATGGCCTATCTCTGTTCCAATTACATAAATTAGCCCCATAAATGTGGCCAATTAACTGGACTTCCATGACTACCTCCGTAAGTAAAGGCCACATTTTGAACATGTACACAAACATGTAGAACTTTGTCAAATTTTGATTTTCACATTTAGGCTTAGTTTGTAGTTTATTTTTGCTTTAGAAGTCAGATATCCTTTTTGGACGTACGGCCCCGCCGCACGCACGTCCAAAAACACGAGGTCATACATCACAGACTCTTTATGCATATTCATGAGTTTGCGCGGGCGCGCCTGCATATTGCATACATTACAGCGCGGCCGCCATTTTGAAATCGCATGGGGGATCGCATGGGGGACGATATTTGTGGAATCTGATGACTGAAATTCGTCTTGTGGCCAGATGGATGAAAATATTGAGACCAAAGAACGTTTTTTCGAAAAGGTATGAGTTGCTCTACGACTAAGAACCTTAACTTTGGAAATTTGTGTCCTGGATGAAAAGATAATCTCGATCAAAAGATGTAGCAAAATCGCTACATCAGCGGCCAAAAAAATTCAGTCTTTTTGGAAGCATTCAGCGTCTGGCCGTACTACAGAGCTTGCGATAGTACTGTACGGCCAGACGCAGTCGGGCTAGTTCCAAGTGTGGCCTTTATTTACGGAGGTAGTCCAGTAAATTGGCCACATTTTGGGGGCTTTGTTCTGATGACATGTCAAGTATTTCCTAACAAAATTGGAAATGTTTGTCAGACCCAGATTCACGTCTTATCATCATTTTTGCAATGAATGACCTTCTTTGAGTTGAGGTGATATATGGGCAATTCCACGGTTACTCATGTTACATTTTTGATGTACTTTTGAGTTTCCTTGGGTTGTAATTACCTTAATGAAAAAGGTTTAATAACTGTTATCCCCGTGGTAGATAGAGTAGACCTAGACCTACCTAAGCACCAAAGACGACATCCAGAAAAATGTGTGATGTATGATAAACAAGAGGTGCAAAATCGGTTACTCACGTTACGAAAATGTAACATGAGTAACTATGGAATTGCCCATATGAAGAAAAAAGTGGCATCCGGTTGCAACTTTCTTTGCAAGGTCTGGTACCAGGCAAGCAGAAATATAATCAAGATCAGAATTATTTTGTCACTTGATATTCACCCAATCCATACTAATACTATTATTGCTTATTGGTAAAAATACTTTGAATTTCAAACCTTCAAAAGTCTAGTTATCCTGTAATTTTGGGCAAAAGCCAGACGGCTTTCCGCCAGAAAAAAAAAAAAATACGTAGCATCCATATTCCTGTAATCTGCTTGAGGTCATGGGTCATGATACCTTTGTTTCCACTCCACAAGTGTCAAACTTTTTTCTAATTTACCAAAGTGCATCAGTGGCTGTTGCCTGTCATTCAAGTAATCATCAGTCTGAAGTGTGCCTGCATGCTTGCGCTGGTGACCAGAACTGAATGACAGGCAACAGCCATCGTAAAATATTTTTTTAAATAGTAACATATAAAAAGTTCAAAATTTATTATCTTGTTTGTTACTTTCAAGATTATTGCTGTAGTGAGTGCTGCTTGGAAATCTCTCTGACTGCTTTTTGTGTATTGTTCCTCAGTATCTTTCAGGGTGAGCTGGAAGAGGTCATACCAGTTGTTCACACGTCCATTGCTGGCTGTCGAATCGTTGGTAGATTGTGTGTCGGTAAGTAGGGGCCACTTTAACAACCATTGCCCCTCCCTGATCCTACAAAGTCCTTTGGAGTGTTTGTAGGATTAAGAAGTGGTAGATCTGGGCCACTAATACTGTACTTTTTAAACGAGGTTTGATGGAAACTTGAATACAAAGAATATGCCATTCAGTTCCTGCACATGGGTAATGCATCATGCTCATAACTTTGAGATAAAATTCCAGATTAACTTAAACATTAACCCTAACTCCCTAGGCATTTTTGCAAGGATGTAACCTTTATCCTGCAAAATCCTCCAACTGCCTCCATGTAAAAAATCATACAGCCTCAATCCTGCAAAATCCTCCGTCATTTCTTGAATGTCGTCTTTGGAGGGTTGATCACTGCCTCAATCCTGCAAAATTCCCCAGCAATCACTGTCAATGGGTTGAGGCAGAGCCAGTGACATCCTGGAGCCGTGCGGAGGATTTCAAGTATTGGCTTAGTTTCTGCACGGCTGAGCATAAACAACACAAGGTCCGGCCCAAGACCTTGACACAAAGTGCATCCTTCAAAATCAGCAACACACTTTTGCCATGAAGCCTCAATCCTGCAAAATCCTCCATTTTGCAAAGGGGATTTTAGAGGATTTTGGAAGGTCAGGGTTAACATAACTTCCAAGATCCCTCAAATTTTACCCGGAGGTTTTGTAGAAATTTGCAGGATTTAGGAAGATACTGCTCAGCCTCATAGTTCAGTCGTGGGACAAAGAATGTGTTTAAGGATTCCTGCAACTATGCCCAAGTAGCGGAATTTCGGACTTCGAAATGATGGGGGTAGCAGAGGTTATGAGGATTAACAGGCTTAGATGGTATGGACATGTGGCTAGGAGAGAGGCAACACACTGGCTCCAGAGAGCTTTAAATTTTCGAGTCACCGGAAGAAGGCCTCGTGGGAGACCTAGAAAAACCTGGAGGGAAACTGTAGAAGAAGATGCCAAAACATCTGGTATCGCTCACATGGACCACACAGACAGGAAAGCTTGGAGAGCAGCCATTAAGGAAATGAAATGTCCAACCCCACAAAGTGGGACAAATGGACTCTAAACGCTGATGATGATGATGATGATGATGAAAGATGCAATGATGACACGTTGTTTCATTGTAAAAAGAGGGACTGCCATTTTATTTACTCTATTTCTCTGATTATTGTGTCTCACATCAGGTAACAAAAACGGTCTTCTGGTACCAAACAACACAACAGACCAGGAGCTGCAACATTTACGGAACTCCTTGCCTGACGCTGTGGCCATACAGAGAGTTGAAGAGAAACTGTCTGCCTTGGGAAACGTCATCTGCTGCAATGACTATGTAGCCTTGGTACACCCTGACTTGGACAGGGTAAGACCTTGTATGCCCAGTCCAGTCCACCCAAGTAAAGTTAGAGGCTGGTTTTAAACCCCCACCCCTTGTTGTTTTTCCTGGATCTTTTAAAATCCTCCACTTCGCAGGAAATCAGTGGTACACTCTCAGTACTTAAACTGTCAAAGTCTAACTGACCTTCCTAAATCCTGCGAAATCTACCAAATGCTTTTGGATTGGGTAGGATCTGGAAAGGGTAGGCGTATTCCGTAAGAAAGCTACAATAGAGTCATCACATGTCTGCTCCATCTCAGCTCCCTTTAGGAGTATACAGCTCAATCAATGCAGCCATTTCAGCATAAAACATGTATTTTTCTTAACACAATAACCATCTCGGCCATCATAGATACATTTACCTATTTACTCTTCGCCCAAAAAGGACCAATTATTGACAGAATGTACCTTGCCTAGTATCAAAAACGCCAGAACCCCACAAACTGTACTCTAATCTTCAAGATGCCGAACTGTCCTCTTGATTTTTGTATTGCCTGCTTCGCGGGAGATCAACTCATGAATAATCAACTCGAGAACAAATCGTGAACACATCCACACTTGTTCCGTAGTTGTGGAGACTACACACGAGTTGTCCCATGGTACTACGGGGACCAAAGACACTGTTGGGACAGCAGAAAGTCCCCGTAATTCATTCCTAATTAGCCTTACAATAAAAAACTTCTTCATAACGCAGTGACGACCCGCCCACCCACACACATATCTTTGTAAACACCTTCAATCATGGACCCCCTGTTGTCCTTCTTTTGTTTATACTTTTAGCAAGACCTCCCTTATGTTTTGTACTCATACTTCCAAAGTGGACCTTCGTTCAATCGTGGACCTTATCGTCCTCTATTGTTCAAGGTCCACGATTTGAATGTGTATACATGTACACCACACACCCATCTATGTAAACACCGGCAATCGTGGACCCCCTATTGTCCCTAATCCTCATTCTTTTGTTTGTACTCTAACTTTTTAGCAACAGCTCTCATTGGTTTTGTACATGAATTTCAATCGTGGACGTTCGGTCCATCGTGGACATTTGTTTGTGCTCTAACCCTTTTGTCCTAGGTCCACGATTGCCAATGTTTACATACCCACACACACCTTTTGCACTTTATAGTATAGCGGCGACATTTTTTGACAACTGATGTCCCATTGCCAGTGTTGTCTCACACAGTCCTGCATTTATCACTTCGGTAGGAAACAGAAGAGATCCTTGCAGACGTGTTGAAGGTTGAGGTCTTCCGACAGATGGTGGCAGGCAATGTTTTGGTTGGCAGCTACTGTGTATTCAGCAACAGAGGCGGGCTGGTAAGTACAATCATTACATAAAGGAGCTTCATTCAATCATGGAGCCGCATTGGGAGGGACACAACGTATGGTGCGAAGTACGCGTAACTTACTCCGTCCTGAATCTGCACAAGCCATAGCATCTTCGCGTGAGTATCAGGTGCCGTCAGCAATGCCTTTGAATGTCCCTCTCAGTGATCTCTCTATCTCTGTGATTCAACCCTAACTCCATAGATATGTTTGCTAGAAGTGTTGCTGAATTCTCCAACATTCCCCACTATGCAGAAAGCTAATGGCAAATTCTCTTGTCAAAGGGCACCAAGTCCCCTGTATTTAAACAGTGATTTGCTTCAACCTTGCTAAACACTTCATGATCAACCACAACTTCCAGATTCTTGTAGTAATCTCATCAATGTTTTTCCTTGTCTAAGTTGTTGGAAACTATTTCCAAATGGCAGAAGATTCCAGCTACCCTTAAATCAGCGAATTGGTTTCAAAGGTCATTTGTTTTTACTAGTGCCATTTGATATTGTACTTTACAGATTTTGGTTATCATTTCAATCTTTCTGTTTGATTTTTCACTTTGAACCACATGCAGAGCTGTATGAAGAACGAAATATTTCTCAATTTGTATGCATTAAATTTTACAAAAATGAGACTGTGATTAATTCGGTATTTTGTGTATTGTTTTTCAGGTGCACCCAAAAACCAAAATCGAAGACCAAGATGAGCTTTCGTCCCTCCTACAAGTCCCTCTCGTTGTAAGTAAATGGTATTCCACTGGGCTCGATGTCACGTGGCTAGTAAACAGAAAATCTTGGGTTTTTGTAACAGGGAAAGTATCGAGTGTAGCATTGTTTTGATGTGGTTTCTAGTGCAAGCACAAGTGAAAGTACAAGTTTTTCCCGCCAAAAATTAATGAGTCTGCACTGTCTTTTAAGTTATCACGTAAAGATGTGATATACATACTTGAGCTACATATAAAGATATAATCCCCAAAGTGTAAGATTTCTCCCCAGACATTTCTTTAACCCTAACCCCCTAGATTGAATTTGCTTGGGAACCTTCCTCACTCCTGCAAATTCCAACACCATTTAGTAAACTCTACACCCAAACTGTTGGACTCTGATTATTGGTGGTATGCCTGACCCAATGTAAAGCATGATCAGTTTAGTACAGTACTCACTCCAACAGATTCCAACAAACCCCGGTGTTGGAGTTTGACTGGATGGGGATTGTTAGTGTTAACACATTTCAGCTGTACCTTGTGTCTTTCTCCAGGCTGGTACAGTCAACCGGGGCAGTGATGTACTGGGCGGGGGGATGGTGGTCAACGACTGGTGCGCGTTCTGCGGTCTGGACACCACCAGTACTGAGCTGTCCGTGATTGAGAACGTCTTCAAGCTGACTGATGCCCAGCCTAGCCAGATTGCAACCACTATGAGGGATTCCCTGGTAGACAGGTAGGGGGAATGCAGCTTCTTCATTTTCAAGTTTTGTGTAGATTTGGCTCCTTAATTTTATTTTAATTGGGGGGGGGGGGGGCGATATGCTTTAACCCTAACCCCCATCGGGTATTCTTCAAGTACCCTGCTAAATGCAACAATATCCAACTCAACTAAAATGAGAACCCTGCTAAATGCAACAAACTGCAACAGTGGATTCTGTTGCATTGTGCATTGAACCCAGTGCACACCAACCTTGGCACCAAGCAGTTACCCTGCTAAATGCAACAAACTGCAACAGTGGATTCTGTTGCATTGTGCATTGAACCCAGTGCACACCAACCTTGGCACCAAGCAGTTACCCTGCTAAATGCAACAAACTGCAACAGTGGATACTCTTGAATCGCCTCGGCACTATGAGCAGTTACCCTGCTAAATGCAACAAGATGCAACAGTGGATTCTGTTGCATAGTGCACTGAACCCAGTACACACCAGCCTTGGCACCAAGCAGTTACCCTGCTAAATGCAACAAACTGCAACAGTGGATACTCTTGTATCGCCTTGGCACTATGAGCAGTTACCCTGCTAAATGCAACAAGATGCAACAGAGCACAGGGACTTGAGTTGGCTGCTAAATGCAACAGTATGCAACAACTTTTTAGCTTTGTTGCTTTCTGTTGCATTTAGCAGGGTTGGGTGCGGCAGTTTGTATTGTGATTTACATAATTTACATTGGAATCGATGCAGAAGTTTGATGGTTAAGTTGAAGTGATCTCTTCCAGGCAAATGCTTTGTAGGTCTTGCAGATGAAAAATGGATTTGGGGGACTGCATCCCACTTTTTCTGTTATGCAGTTGTGATTTATGTACATGAACCATGGTGTGCTTGTAAAAGTAAAGTCTGTCGCAAGGCAATATCTACCTCATCAGGCCGGTGTTTAGCTTTGGTTGCCTAGGCACGAAAAGGCTGAGGGTATTTCCATCCCCCTGGATGGGATGCCAGTCCATCACAGGTTACCCCAGCTAATGCCGGTACCCATTTGTACTCCTGGGTGGAGAGAGGCAAGAAGGGGTGAAGTGGCTTGCCCAAGGACACACATATGGCCAGCAGCTGGATTCGAACCCCTGACCCTGGTGTGCTAGAGCATCCTGGATATCAAAATACATGTATACGTTCTGGCGGAAACTTTCCTGAACATTTTTTCCCTTTTGTTTTAATCGCTAAACATGTTCTAGATACCCCCAATGGCTCCCGGTTGCCGCAGCTTCAAAATCAAAAGACAGTGTTTCTTCAAATGGAAATTCTTACTGCTTTAATTTTCATAACAACTTTATTTTCATTAACTTCAATGTCAAAAATATGAAATTTTGTGGCTTTCTTTTCTTTTGCAGCCTGGCCTAAAGTCTCAACATCTCTTGTCACACCAACTTCTAAGTGGCAGAAACCTCCCCACAGGTCACCTGATGGAGACCTGATTCTGTTTACCTCTTGGCCCTGAAGTTGAGAAACAATGGTGGCAAGATTTTCAGTCATGTTGGACTGGTACCAGGAACTGGTGACATGCGTTGTGGATATGACACTAGATAAGTGGTGAACGACCACTTCTTTTATATGTATTGTTTAATCGTTGGCCATTAGACCAACAGTGTACAGGGGTCGGGAGTGGTATCATTATTATATTATACAGAATTGGGCACAAGTCGTCACTGGTCAGTTGCATTCAGTCTCAAGTCAGACAACAGTCTGTTTAACCAGACTGTGATAAAGGCGTTTCTACGTCATCCCGTGTTGTGTGTGACTCGACGTGAAATCTGACTAGTGACAGACTTGTGGTTGACTTGCGACTGAAGCTGTGATGGACTCGACAACTCCCATATTATAATACTGTATTTGAAAGTGTTCAAAAGGCCGTCTATTTTTAGGAAATTCTTGAGGGCCACATTGATGTACTTTGAAACCCCCTCTTCCCTTCCTCATCTGGGACACGGTTTCCCACCTTCATTGTAGAGATTAAGAACAGAAGAGAGCGTAGACCTTTCTGCACATGGGCGGGGGAATGGGGGGATATATCCCCCCACTTTTTGGGCAGGAGGATGGAGTATACAATCTTCCCCCCAGAATTTCCAACACCCTTTATTAAATAGCGCCCTCAATCTGCAAATGGTCCTACTTCCCCCCCCCCCCCCCCAATTATTGTGCAGGCGCCAATTTTTTCAGGGTCACTTTTGGGGGGATTTTACCCCCAACAATTGTGATCATCCCCCCCCCCCCCCCCCCCCCCCCACTTTGTGACGCAAATCTCCGATGATGAAATTTGCGCACCATTTTGTATGGGCAGCCACAAGGGCATAAACCTTAGCCGTGGTTGGCAACAGATTTCGCCAAAAAGTGCAAATCAACACCCTCATTAAAGAAAGAGGCATTTTTGTTAAGTCTTCGGTAGTGTTTGTTGGTAGTATATTGTATTTTGAACAATCGTATGATATGCTTGAAAACTAACTTATAGCTTTTCTTTATTTTTGCAGTTTTTTGGCAAAGAAAGGTCTGTACGCACAAAGTGAGGTACAAAGAAATGAAATTGGAAAGTTAAAATCTTGAGCTCCAATAATATGAAATTAGAAATTATCATGAAGTTTGGTCTCAATCTGCTGCACCTAATGCCATGGCTCTGTTAACCCAAATTTTTTACTTTTACCACTGCTATTCTGTGCTGTACTGTGCTAGCACACATACAGGGTGAGTAAAAAAAAAGCGGAACCCAAACCCCAAATATTATATTTCATATTTGATAAAACATGTAGCACCAAACATGATAATGACTGGAAAGACAATTTCATAAGCTACTTATAGATGAACAAATTACTGAAATTGGTCAATCTGTTCAAAGAATATCACCATTTGAACACAATGACCCTAAAACCTCTTTCGTCCAAAAATGCAATTTCAAGAATCGTCGTCACAATTGTCTTCAAACATCACCAGCGATAAAACCTCAGTTTAAAAGTTAAAAATATTCAACAAAGTCCTTTTGAAGGCCCGTCTTCAAAAAGGTGGATTTTATAAATCATATTGGTTACCTAACCAGGGTTGCCAATAAAGATATTGTGCACTACAGTTGTTGACAGTTGTTGAAACAAGCATTCTGTGTCATTTTCTTTGTTGTTCCAAACAGTCAGAATACATGTACACAATAAACTGCTTTCTCGGATGAAACAGGTTTTAGGGTCATTGCTTTTAAATGGTGATATTGTTGGAACAGATTGAGCAATTTCAGTATTTTTTTCATCTAAAAGTATCTTATGAAATGGGCTTTCCATTCATTATTATGTTTGGTGCTACATATTTTTTTAAATATGAAAAAATATTTTTGGGGTTTGGGTGCCGCTTTTTTTGACTCCCCCGGTATTCTGCTACCACACTGTCGGTGCACAGTACTTAGGGCATGTATGCATGGGCACAAGCCCAAATTCCTTGCTAACCTGTGAAAAATTCTTACTGTGGGAGAAGAATTTACATTAAACCACGGTTCGACCTTAACTTTTTTTCACTAGCCAGGCGGGCTACTGAAACAAACTCTCAACTAGCCTGCGGGCATTATCACTAGCCTGCATGCTTTTCTTGTATAGAGTGTCTCGTAAACAACAATGTGCACACATGTAAAACGTGTATCCTGAGACAATCTTGTCCGTGTTTTTAATAAACAGATCTAATAATTTAACCCTAAACAGTAAATAAAATGAGACACAAATTGATACAGGTTTGCTTTCTGAATTTAATGATTTATTTCTTACTGTCCTTTCATCTTTGCCGTAGCCCAATAATTTTTGACTCGCCAGCTGGGCTACTTAAGGAATAGTTTGACTAGCCCGGCGCTGTTTTGACTAGCATTTGGCTAGTGGGCTACCGCTAAAGGCGAACCCTGATTAAACGGAGCCATGAAATTGGGCTTGATTGTTGACTTTGAAACTTGACTTTGAAGTTTGTTGTCACCCCAAGTACAAGCCTGTTTTTTTTGTGTTTTATTTTTCTTTCTCCAAACTAAGTTGTCAAGGTCTTTATCAATGAAGTTTTGTTTATATATCACCTAAACCAGTTAATTTGTGCCGTCATATTGAGTTAATGATTTTTGTCAGTTCTCTGAAGTTGCACTTTCCTATAAGTTCTTGTGCCTATTTTAAACCTTTCAAGTTAAGAAACATAAGTGGATGCCAGATGTGACTCAGATTTAACTTGTAAATGGTGTGTTGGACCGGAACGAGAAGATTTGAAATTAATAAAGTAACCATGTAGAATTGGTCACAAATTGGATTTTGATGATGATTGCTCTTGTAAAACAATGTAGCTATTGTTGATATTTTTTGTAATTCAATATGCTACCATGAAGTAATAAAAATTGGGTATATGGACTTTATGAGAATGACTGTATTAAACATGATAGATTTTGTATTCCAAATTGTTCCCATCGTAAAGTGCCCACCCAACAACCCCCATCTGACCCAAAAAGTAGATATTTCAGAAAGTCATATTTCCCATGATAACATTTCATAATGTTTGTTTTTTTATCCATGTGTAATTTTGAAATTCTTAATTTCTGATAAAAATGAATTAATGTACATGTATATAATGCAGCAACCCTCATACATTGAATAAAAGGTTGTCAGACCCCTTCCAATTCATTTCAGAAGCTAGAATTTTTACCAAAATTTTAAGTCAACAAAATTTGATTTAATCTGATTTGAGAACATTGAAATGAAGTTGAATCTAATTATTACAGTGAATTTGATAAAAAAATTTAAAAAAACAAGATGAATTAACTTTCATTTCTTGGTTTATTACTCATCAACACACGACCATTTACAAAAAAGTCTGGAAAAGTGCGAGTCCTAGTCCCAAACCTATGTTTGGCAAAAATGTTCTATTCCAATGTCACCCACCAATTATTTTTATAAACAAACTACATCCCACGAAATACGCGCCAGCAAGCTTTTGCCCCGCCCACTATTGGGTATTTCGACGTGGATAACTTTGCATACATTATCTAAACGTAGCAAACAAACGTATCACCAGCAGTCGAGCGCGTGACGCCAAACCCGTGCTGGTACCCGCATTTTCCCGCCCAATGCATACATTGCACACACGTACACGTACGTGAGGCCATTGGAACCAGCTATCGTATATGTTCGGTCTTTTCGCAGGGCGTCTGTTTGGAGGCTAATTTCTTTCCACCAATTGCAGAGTTCTTGACACAACTTTACTCCTTTTTAAGCGCTCGGTAAGTCTTCCGTGTGATTGCGAGAATAATGCAGAATTTGAAGATAATGTTGGTTGCAAAGTAGATACGCCGAGAGCGGAAACTGAAGTAAATTTTATCGTGTGAAAGTGGGACGGGATTGTAAGCGTTTTCACGACTAAACACTTGTTTGGTGCACAGCATAGCTCCATGTTTGGTGCATGATGCCGATGCTGCAGCCTTACATCCCGCCCGGCCCATGTCCCCATGATGATGATGATTATGATGTGTACGTATTACGTGATTTTACTGTGTGATCCCTAGTAATATTAAGAGTAAGATACATAAAGACTACATGTATTATATTATATAAATTGTATGTATTTTACAGCTGTGAGTAGCCTAGGTAAAATGTGTTTATTTTGTAAATGTTGCCAGGCATCTGGTGGGGTTCCATCTGGTGACAGATGAGAAAGCCTACTTCTTGATTAGAATAGATCTGTAGATTAGAACTTAGAAAAGGCACATAGCAGTGCACTGTCATGACTGTAGCAGCCTTCTAATTTTAAAGGTAAGGAAAGCCCAGCTCTAATTACATCATTGGAATTAGAATTAGATGGCAAATTGCCGATGTGATCATTAGCATTATTTAGACTAACTTGGAATTCCAAAGCTATTCCACTATTTCCACTTCAAGCCAAATTATGATTCTATGATCCAGGGTAGGATTAAACTTAGCATGTTCCATCCTTACGCCACTTTTTTCATCATATATTATGTCAATGAAGGTTAGCATATATTGCAAAACTTTTGACAAGACATGAATCTGGGACTGAGAAACATTTCCAATTTTGTTTGAAAATACTTACAATAATGCAACTCAACTCTTTATAGACTTTGTACACGCACAACGAAGTGGTGTCTGGATGTATACTACATTCTTTCCGGATACAAAAATTAACAGGACTAAGTCTACATTGAACAATGGGAAATTGGTTTTACTCCAAACCCCCCCCCCCCCCCCCACCCCCAAAAAAAACAATCGGAAATTCCTTTCTTTCTTATCCAAAGATGACATTTTCCTGAGATGGTGGATGGATCGTTCCATTTTCTCAACTCTTTTGTTGATACTTATGTAATGTGTCCAAGGGAGCTGTCACACTTCTGCCAGATTTGGAACTTGCAAACATAGCTACAATCTTGCTGCAAACAAATAACGCAGTGGCTATTGTTACGGCAGCCGTAACGCATTTCCCATTTTCTATTGTTACGGTAGACTGCAACCTGGCAACTTTTATAAAAAAACATGACAAGAAAATATAAAATTAGAAGGAAAAAAGTGAATTTGAACTTTATGAAATTCGGACTTTATTTCCCTTTTAAAAAAAATCCTCAAAAGCCTCAGGTTAGAAAAGGAAAAAAAATTGAGTGCAAAACTGAGATTCGAACCCGCAACCTCGCGGTGCAAAATCCTACACTCTATCGGCTGAGCTGGCGCACTGCTCGATAAAACGTGTGGAAACAAATAATTATATACCTGCGTGCGTATCAAAAAATATCGTAGAGGGCGCTAAACAACGAGTGCCGTAACGATAGCCACTTCGAACAAATAAACAACAAAATATACTGCATATAGATAATTCTAAAAACTAAATAAAAAGGGGGCAGGCGTTTAAAGGAATGCAGGCGTGGATGAGAAACTGGTTTATTTTTTAGAAATACAATGTACCGTAAATTATGCTGTATTATGGTAAATATACGTGGCATCAAGTCATCTGATTACCTCTTTTTGAGAAAAGCATTTGAAATGAAAAATGTGTGCATTAAATGTGAGCTACTTGTTTTGTGTCCTGTTACATAATAGAGAAAAAGTCAAATTTTTTAATAATAATTCAATCATGGAGCTATATATTATAGCTATATAATGGTAAATTGGGGGCAGTATTTGAAAAAAAAGCCATTTTTTTCCCTGGCCGACCAGCGTTGGAATTTGATACAAAAAGTTTTCTTGAAAATGACAACGCACCATATGCCAGATTTTACAGGATGCTTTGAACTGTCATTCACCAACAGTCCAGTAAGGTATTTCCCAATAATTTGGTAGTTTTTGGATGTTTGTAAATGTTGTATATTCCCTTTAACAGATATTTATTTTTATGAATAATTAGGCTTTCAACGGAGACATGATATCAGAATAATTTAAAACCACTTGTGATACGATATTCATTCAATTGGTGAGTGTATGTGACGTCAAGGCTCCAGTGGAGGGGGTATTTAACGAATATCACCATATTTTTAAAACTACCGGTACCTTCAGTGATTGTGTTCTTCCAAACTAGCATTTCAGGCAGAATAATTTCACAAGGTCTTTAACTGATACAATCGTATCTTCGCTCGGAGCAATTTTTTTTTATAAAATCGATAGTTTCATTTAGGGTCGATTACCCATGTTGATAATGTACGTGCCTTTAAATTAGCAAGTGCAGACCCTGTGACTGACCTTTTTTTTTTTTAGGAATCATCAAAGGTTAACTTTTAATCAGTTTTAGGTATAACAAAAAACCCAGCAACCTCTATTACATTGTACATGTACCATTGCATTAACAACTGAGCTATCCAGCCTCAAGTTGGCACTGGTGTGGTGTTTCGTTCCCAAATGCAAATCTTACTGTCACACTAAACTTCAGTGTACAGCATTAAGCATTTCATTCTTTTCTTTTATTCTGATCATTAGATAGAGAGACACGATGGCAAGTCAGGAGGATGTTCAGTTCCGATGCAAGCTGTGCCAATACACCGCTTTGTCCAAGCAGGAAATTGCGGACCATTTCATGGACGTCCATGCCGCCGTGGAAATAGTGAGCGTTGGCTCCCTGCAGCCTGCTGGGTCAACCAGCGTCGAGACGAATGAGGATGCTAAGCAAGTCGCGTCTCAGGACAGCAGCAGCACCTCCACGGACGCATCAGTTTCCTCGGAGGTGAAGGTGAAGAGGACCAGTTTTCCTCTGTCGGCGTGCAAGAGGAAACTAGGCTTCCGGAGTAATGCCCTGCGCAGCACCATCAGTCATCTGGTGAGGGCTGCTGAACAGGCTTCAAAAGATGAGCAGTCAACAAATTCAGGTAAGGCATCACTTTCAGCATTCGCTGGTGTCTTAAAAGGCAAAAGTTGACGAAGACAAAGCGAATTTTAATTTGCTCATAACCAGTATTTAATTTAAAAGAAATCTAGCCAGCAACCCTTTGTGATTTATTAAGTTGCTTGAAGGAAATAACAGTACAGTTTTATGCTGATTTTATGGAAGGCAATCATGTGTCAAATTAATTTATTTATTTTTATAAAATGATGCAAGTACAGTCGAACACCTTTATAACAAGGTCATTGGGACTTTACGAATTACCTCGTTATAACAGGTACCTTGTACTAACAGTAATGAAAAACAAAGAAAAACAAAGACTTGGGACCTAAAATTGTGCTTGTTATAAGCAGGACCTTGTATTAACAGTCCTCTTATTAGGGTTCGACTGTAATTTCAACCTTTAGTTTCTAAAATTTACTCTCATTACAGGTGAGACTCCAAGAGGTTTACGGAGAATCCAGCAAGCTGGCACCAGCAAAGACATCAGTAAGACAGTCCATGTGGTCGGCAGAGAACTCCGCAAGCACAAAATGAAGCGCAAATTTGAGGATTTTGTTCTCTTTGATGAGGACCAGGAACAGAAAAAGCAGCTGAAGCTATCGCCTACCAAAACCACCACCACCGAGAAGCAAGTCTCTCCTGGAAAGAAAGCTGGCAGTGGCAGGCAGAAGGTTGCAAGACGTAAATCCAAGAAAACTACACTAGCAAAGGAGATTGAACGCACCAATCTGAAGCCTGCAGAGTTCCAGCAAAAAATGGATGAAGAACTGAAAGTGTGGTCTGATTCGTGGATTGAGGACCATAAGTCTGTCACAGAGACCTGCAGCAATGCCAGCTGTGGTTTACAGCTGCCGGCCAAGGAGTTGAAACTGCACGAACGGTGCCACATGCAGAGTTACTATGGCTTCAAGTGCCCGCACTGTGAGTACATGCATTCACGCTGGCGGAACATGAGATGCCACATCTACAGTGATCATTATGAGAATGAGAAGCCTTTGTTGCATTGTGACTGGCCTGATTGCACAGGCTCGTTTACTCTCCTGTGGGGTCTGAAACGCCACGTGCTGCGCGACCACATCCGACCTAAGCTCGTTAAGATGCACGCTTTGAAACAAGAAGAAGCATCGCCAGCTGAGATGGGCGAGACAGAGCCGACCACAGAGGACAAGGCTGAGTTGGAGTCCAAAGAGGAATCCGACGATCACATCATCGTGAAGGCATCCACAAGACGAAGAAGAAGTAAGGGGATGGAGGAGATTGTGGAAGCGGGGACGGCAGAGGAAGAGGCTGAGAAAAAAGTGCGCAACCGAAAGAAAATCCACAGGATCGCCTGGCTGCCGTCCTGCTCAGTCTGCGATGCAAAAAATATCTCCATCGAAAATATGGATGCTCACATTGCATTGCACGTTGTGAAAGACAGCGACAGCGTCAAGTGCTCAGAGTGCAACATCGTAGTGGACGACAGTTCCAAACTCAAGGCTCATATGAAGGAGCAGCACAAGCGTCTGCTGAAGGTCTTCCGCTGTGAGCAATGCAAGTATGCCGGAGACCGCCACTACGACTACAGAAAACACCTACTGACCCATGCAGACACCAAGCCGTGCATGTGTGAGGTCTGTGGGAAGCTGATGTCCACACCTTACAATCTGAAAGTCCACATCCTGCGCGTGCATGCTACTGACGAGCAGAAAACTATTCACTGTGAGCATTGCGAGTACCGGTTCGCCGACAAAATTGTGCTGAAGGACCACATGCGGTTCCAGCACAATCTGCTCTGGAATGGGGACCCGTACAAAGACATACAGTTGAGGGCGTTCAAATGTGACAAGTGCGATTACATTGGCAAGAAGGAGAAAAGCTTGAAGTATCACATGCGTGTTCACATCGAGAACCGACAATTCCGCTGTTCCATGTGCTGTTACGCCAGCAAGACCAAGAACAACTTACTTCTGCACATGCGAACCCACGGAGGACTGAAGCCGATCAAATGTCCACAGTGTGATTACAGAGGTAATTTCAAAACAACTTTGCTTCAAATCTTTGAAAAAAATGGCAGTGTACAGTCTTTAATATGTTCATTTTTATGTACTTCATTTACAAAATTCAATAAGAAGTCTCAGATTGCGGTACTCATTGCTATGCAAAATGGCCACCGAACTCCTTTGAATTTTGTGGTCAAGCAGTCAAGATGTCTGCAATAGAAAGAAGATCTTTCAATCGAGTCCCAACCATTTAATTAAGCTCGTAATTGTTCTCAGACAGCACGGATTATGTATCATTAATGAAAATCACATTGAAGAAGAGAAAAACTCAATACAAGTATTAATTTTTTCCCTACACACAGGTGCAACGAACAAAGTTGTCAACGAGCACATGATGTGCAAGCACAGGGGTTTGCGTCCTTACAAATGCCCCTGTGGCTGGTCCACTGCTTACAGTGGGAACATGTGGAAACACATGCAGGAACATCGCGAGAAGGGAGACGCCTACAAGGACATTGCTGAATCACGGTACGGGAGTTCAAGGAAGAAGAAGCAAATAGAAGACGACGGTGCACCAGAAATCCAGCCTTCCATTGAGCAACAGGTGGTGACCATTGTTCACGAATTCCATGACATCCAAGGTACCAGGACACTGAGCAGTGATGCCCAACAGCATCCTGATGTCGTCACCTTCCAGGAAGTACCACAGACATCCGGCATGGACATCCCTTCCTCGACCATCTCCCAGGTGGACTCTCTTCCCATCCTGGGGGCACAGCTGCAGCTCAACAGCCTAGTGCAGGCAGTCTCGGCTGTAGCAGCAGGCAAGGTCAGCGAGCAAAGCCCAGCAAGCCACCAGCATACACAGGACCTACAGGGGCAAGAGGATAATCAAGCAGCCAATTTCCTGTGTAAGCTTGCACACGCTGTGTCCACGCAGGGAGCCGCACATCAAGAGAGCGCTAAGGGAGTAGCCGAGGCCAAGCATTTGCCCTTAGGGTGTGAGGTACAGGTACCAACAACAAATACTGGCTCAGTTGAACAGACCATTCAAGAACTCATACTGTGGTAGGAATACAAGGGCCAACACCACTCTTTGCAGTGTTCATGTACAGTAACCCTAACCCTGCAGGGTATTTTGGCTAGAAACCCTGCCAAACGCGGCAACATTGAACACTTGTCTAAGTGACAAGCCTACCCAGTGCAGCAAGATCCATCAGGTCAAAAGTCTCAAAGCCAAACTGTCTCAGGGTCTGTGGTCACTGAATGCAGCAGGATACAACTGCGGCATTGTTCAAACTTAGCTCTCATTGTCTCAGAAGCAGCCGTTTATGCACTGGTGTTGGTAGCTGAATGCATCAAAGTGCACCAGACTTTCCCACCTGATGCACTGTGTTGGATATGGTAGGGTTAGGGTTAACCTGCAAATATTTTCTGAATTGATGAACAAGGCAGCAATTTGAGGGATACACAATACAGAGGAGTTGCCAATTGTGATGCAAATTAATGTTTTTCTCTACTTACAAAGTGCAAAATGGAAAATTGAATGTCCCTTCGTACATGCTGTTAAATGGTATTCTTTTTTGTCTAGGCAATAAGTACCCAGCAGTTACACATTTCTTGGGATGTGAACATGCTACACTTTTACCTATTAGTCCATGTACTGCCCCAAATCGCCCTGCCTGTTACTGCCTGTACCGCCCCAAATCTCCAAATCATTCCATGGTTGCACGGATTCTTCAGGCAATAATTACAATGTCAACTATGTAGTACAAGTGCTTATTAGGTCAAGTTGGGGTTTTTTCTGTACATAACAACAATTCTTTTAAATTTGATGAAGAAAATTTGACCGAGAAGTTGACAAAATGGCTCCTTGAAAGCGAACATTGGTTGGTTTTGTGAATATTATCTGTTGAAGTTTGAAAGAATTGTTCATTTTGGCCTGGTTTGTTAGGGTCGTGTTTATTTGTTCTTTGCAATTATTCATATTCTTTACAATGTTTCTCTTTTCTTTTCATGTTTCATTCTCAGAAGGAAAGTGATTTTTAAGGAACACAGAGGTTGTCTAGTTGGTTATTATATAAATTTAAGACTATAAATATAATTCTCTTGAGAGTTACAGGGAATATACAACATTTGCTTTTGCTGTAATTTTCAGAAATGGAAGGATTGGGGGGGGGGGGGTATTAGTATTTATAGTAAATATTGTTACACTGATTTGTTTGAAGTTTTGTCTTTTGTAGATGCTGGAAAAACCAAGAAAACGAAATGTTCCTGTAGTCAGGTTCCCTCACCCCACTTAGAAGATGAAACGAAGCAATTTATAGACGTCGGGGAATTGTAAGGTCAGGGAACCAATCTCACTGGCTTGTACTGCTGTGTACATGTGATCGATTGCAAACAAAATGTGGACTAACTATATATGATCCATTGGGGGCAGTATTTGACAAAAGCCAGTTGTTTTAACCAACACTGGTTGAAATTGAATACAAAATACCACTTTTCTGGAAAATGTCAGCACGCCAGATGCCATGATTTTACAGGATGCTTTAGACTGTCATTGACTAACAGTCTAGTCATAATAATTTGGTATTTTTGTTTGTTGATGTTTGCAAATGTTGTATATTCCCTTTAACATGAATAAGATAATGATAAGATTGACATGAAGAACAAGATAGATGGGCTTTGTGCACCAACTGTAGATGCTGCGTCGTCACCACTCTTGGGAATATGGGAAATACTGTACACACGTCTTCTCACCAATGAGTTGAAGAGTTCTCACAGTGGTTCCTCCTAACATTGTCTGTAACCGTTGAGGTGTACTTCTGCACAAAGTCCATAATGTCTTATGTAGCATTTATATTTTAAGAAGTGGGAATCCAGTTTATTGAAATATTGATTGTAAATGTGACCTCCAGCTCAAAACCAGTCTGAAGTCTCACTTCAGATACACTCAACCAAAAAAGAAAGTCCCCCCCCCCCTCAATACTTTTGTGTCCAACTCAAAAACTACTGGGCATATCTTGCTCAAACCACGACTGATCAGTACAGAAATTCCTCTTTGTTTGGCCCAAAACAGTGATACTGTGTACAAAATTATGCAATTTATGACAAATTGTAACCAAAAAAAGTTGCACTTGCGTATGCGTGCAAGGTGAGTGTGAACCACAACTTGCACGTATAAAAGTGCAGCAGTTTTCGGTACCATTTGTGCATAAATCCGTACAGATTATCACTGTTTTGGGCCAAATAGAGAGTATGGCTGGATTGCTAAGGAATTTCTGTACTGATTAGTCATTATTTGAGTGAGAGGTGCTCAGAATTTTTTGAGTAAGACAAAAAAGTATTGGAAGGGGGGACTTTCTTTTCTGGTTGAGTGTATTTTGATACACAGCCTATAAAATATTGACTATCAATTGATGAAAATTTGTGTAAATTGATTAAGAGTGACAATTTGACAAATGACAAGTGATGAAAGCATACTCCAAATATTAATCTGATTGCTGTTATACATACATGCATTGCCAAGGAATTAAATTTGGGAAACTCTTAACAACAAATTTATCGATTTGTTTTTAACTATCAAGAGGCCTGAAAATTTTGAACCGGAAATTACATAGAACTCCATCAGATGTCTTGATTCACATATTCTATACAATGACATCATTGGAAAGCTCAATGTCCTTCCAAAAATCCCAGTTGTTCAAAAATTGAAACAAGTGATTGGATATATGCATTGTTTTGTTAATACAGGGATTGGGTTTTTGCCGGTTAAAATTGGCACATGCTTTTAATTTGCATTTAGCAAAACAGGTCAATGCATTGTATGTCCTGGAATTGCGAGGGATCAAATTGGGTACGATTGTAAATGTTGGATTTTTTTTTTTTTTTCAAACCAAAAAAAAGAAAGAATGTGTTATTGGAGATCTTTTTCTTGATCTGTTTAAAGGGAATAACGTTGCTGCAAAACATTCGCCAAGAGGTGTGCTTGCTTGCTTTTGTAAAATATGGCACTGATGATAGTATGTTTTGAATTTGAGTGAGGAATTTGTATGCAGTTTGTATATATATATATCAGAATGAATATTCATGTACATTTCCATGGTTTTCTTAGTATTTGACACAACACAAAGAAAGAGTGATGACGAATACAACTTCACTATTACATTTCCTTTAATACCAAGCCTGCACACTACATTATTATAGGTGATAATACATGTACATGTGTATACCTAAAACCAAACGTTGGCTATTAAATGTACTACATTGTAATTGTATAAGCGTATTCTATCCTGTTTCTTCTACTTACAAAATGACACTGGGAAAGACAAAGGATTCTCTCTTAATGTACATTGTACATTTACAGGTTGTTTCTACCAAATTCTTTAATTAGCCTTTGAAAAAAATATACTTTGTATCAGTTGCTAAATTGCCCTTTGATAACAATTAAAATCTGCATAAAGTAATCATACATGTAGTACCAAAATGAAATAAACACGTGATTATAATAGTCAAAGATTATGAATATATCCATTTAAAATTTAAGCCATAACCCTACACCATAAAAATGCAAACACTTATTTAAAAAATAAACAGAGTACGTAGAGTCTTGCGTGTCTGTTATCAATCATCACGATGTATGGAGTCACATAAGTTTGTTGTGAAGAGGTGATCTATATTTTGTTCACAAAATAATTGATTTTTTTATTTCCCAGTCGGGTTTGACTAAAGCTCCCCAATCTGGCTACCCAAGTGAATACATAGGGTTTACTACATACTGATTTGAATGGGCACTCTTACCGTTCAAGGCGTACGTCTAGTGTGAGAGTTCTCCGTGAATGTAATTTTCATCATCACTAATTTTTTTGGTGCTTAAGGAGATGGGAATACTTTGGAGAACTTGATTAACTTGGGTGAACTGAATACCAACTTAACTTCTTTAGCAAGGAGTCACTTACGAGAAAGTATCGTCCATTTCACATCATGAGATCAGTGCAAACTGCACAAACTCAAGTTCACTAATCTACAAATTTTTAATTTGATTTCGCACGTTTACCGTATAGAACTTTCAATATAACAAATTTTGTATAACTCAAAAACATTCCATTAAAAAAAAAATTCCAACTAAATCTATTCACACACAGTTATCCTGTTCTAAGACTAAAATTAATATTTTTTCCTCAAATATATCATAAAAACATTACGAGTTGTTTCAAAATCCAACATACCAATATATGCAAAAAAATAGGAACAAAATACATTCAAATAAAATTGACTGCAAGCCACTACATGTGTACAATAATCTAATAAAAGCGACCACGCTCGACTGTTCTTTCAAATGATTTTGTTTTAAACCATTATCTTCAAGAACATGAACTGTGCTACTGCTTCTAGGTACCACTCACACATTACATGCCAAAATATCCTTAATTATTATCGAAAATGTTACCGTGAAGTTGAGTGGAATAAAACCACACTTGAAACTTGAGTTGTCATCATTTGCTAATATTTTCTGTAAATCCCACTCATCTGATATGATGCGGGTAGCCGTTTTGTCTATAAAGTATAATCATCCAGATCCAGAAAACTTGAATTCATGATTGTTTATGTTGAATACATGTAACAAGCTGTCTTAAGACTTGCTGTAGTGAAATAAAGATAAAGGCGTTCATGTGAAGAGGCCCCTCTTGTTTGTGTTAATTGAGTCCTTACAATCTAGCACTTGCAGGATTGCATTTAAAACAAAAGCAGCCTGACATGTTTGTTTGTTTGTTTTTTTCTAACACATTTCCGATCCTTACAAATATCAAACGAAATCATCTGAGTAGCTTTTTTTATTTGGTTATAAAATGTGCAAACATTGTCAATATACATGTAGATGGAGGTATTGAAAGTTAATCACGAATGACCAAGTTGCCTCGGTCGATCCAATTGTAGTAATTGTGTAAGGCATTGTAACCAACATGCTTGTCAAGCCTAGTGAATCAGCTTGACGCCGTCAAAGCGGCTCCGTTTGCGGGGCGTGAGGCGCATGAACGCGCAGGCCATCAGCACCACTACCAGGGCTAAGATGGCAATGACGCCCACCATCATCCAATGCATGCCCAGTTTCTCCTTGCCCCATCGGGCCGGGGAGTGGTCCATCCAATCTGGGGGCTGTTGAATCATCCAGGACGGGCGGTCTGGCTGGTCCAGCTCCACTTGTTCTGTGTGTGTGAAGGTGTGTCAAATCAAACCAAAATATCTGTTAGTACATGTATTCACAGATACAAAGTGGGTTCTGACTTCTATGCAGTAAATTTTGGGGGGTAAAAGCAAAGTGTGATGACTGCAATGTTATTTTTGATGTTGTAGTCTGGTTCCTGCAGTTGCCAACCGGTCAACAGAGCGTACCACGGGTTGTCTACCACATGGTAGATTCGAGCGTCATGAAAATTGCTTTGGTAAGCGAAGAGTAATTTGACGAAATTTGAAAAATAAAGACGGTGTCCTGAAATCTATTTCTTGCGGATTTTTTTCAACTTGTGCAATAATGTTATAGCTCGTACAATATACATGTATTCTTGTATCCCCCTCAACACCATCCAAAACAGGGCGAGACAAAAAAAGCGAAATCCAAATGTCGGGACTATTGTTTTAGTGAAGTTCTGCATGTAGTCCTTTCAAAATCTAGGATACAAAAGCAGAATTCATAGACTTTCTTTTAGTACAAGAATCATTCAAATCGCTCATGCACTTTTCAAGTTACGGAATTTTAAACACAACCACCGTTTTAATGTTCTATCCACGGATCACAAGAAGGCAAGTGTTCTTTCAGCAAAACGAAAACAAATCACATAGGGATGTGTGTGAATTGTTTTCGCTTGGATTTGTTTTCGTTTTGCTGAAAGAATGCACACCTTTATGCAGTCAATAAATAAATAGCCAGAGTCTTTTTATCACAAATACATGTAGTGGGTTGCATACCTTGTTCACAGCTGGGTCCAACCCAACCAGGGGCACAATCACAGCGCATGTAGTCTCCAATCTCCTCATCCACGCCGGAGACGCAAGTGCCGTTGTTGAAACAAGGGTACTGGTCGCACAGTGATACATCCCCTGGTTATACACAATTCGACAGAAGGTAACAATTTCACTTATCTTATGTGTATGAAGATTAAGTTCCGAAAATGGTTTGGATAACACAAGCAGTATAAATGTCATTGTACGTAGTACTGAACATTGCAAGTAGTAAAAAGTAGTTCTGAGAGGTAGTTTGTTCAGTAGTAGTAAAGTCTGTCCCGAGCCAATGTGGCTCATCAGGCCGGTGTTTATCTCCGGTTTCCTTGGCATGAAACGACTGCGAATATTTCTACTCCCCTTGAATGGGATGCCAGTCCATCGCAGGTTACTCCCCAGCTAATGCCGGTACCCATTTATACTCCTGGGTGGAGAGGGGCAAGTGGGGGTGAAGCGGCTAGCCCAAGGACACAATATATGACCAGCGGCTGGATTCGAACCCCGGACCCTCTGATCATGAGTCACGAACCCTAACCACTAGGCCACACACTCCCCCATTGTTTGTTCAGTGGGCAACATCAATTACAAAAAGCCCTTAGTTTGTCTACATTTTTCGTTGGAAATTGCCTACATTTCTCGAAATGTAGGCGAAAAGCAAGCCAGACGAAATAATTTCACGGGGTGTTTAGTACCCAATCAATCTTCAATAACAATCTTTTTGATAACAATTTGGTTGGTTATTTTGGGACAGATGCAAATGATCCTATATAATATGCCTTTAAGGAATAACTGGAACCCTCGGAAACTATACTTCTCAGAAATCCAAAATGGTTACTGTTAGGTATAGTATTTGCTGATTACATTTAATGCCATCTACAAATAAAGAAAAAGCAACGTCTGAAATCAAGATGCTTCAAAGTTGTTTTAACAGTACATCTGTTGTATATTGAACATGTCGTTCCTGACTGTTTTTACAGTGGAGCTTCATTTAATTATTTGGAGGAATTTAGCTCGGCAAACTTTTGAATGCTGTTCTGAAACGATATAAGACTGACGAATGCTTGTGGTTATTGTTTTAATACATTTATGCACTTCAAACAGCATTAAATACACACCTTCTGCAGCATCCCTTCTACGACGGCCTTCAGCAATACAGAAAGAGAAAGAAAAAAGAAAAGAAAAGTGTACCATAAACAAGTGTTTCACAAAAGAATGGATTTGAAATCGATACATTATATTTTTGTGCAACACAATATTTGTACAAATCAAGATATCCAAATAAATCCTGTTTTTCAGCATGCACATGTACGCCATTTCATTTGCGTTAGCTGTTGACAAGTACCTTTGTACTTTTACATTTTGAAGCCAAATCCGACTTTACTGATGGAGTTTCTCTAAATGCAGTTCACTGAATCCATAAGCTATCGAGGGAACATGGGAGTTAATTATTCCCTGGCTCTGATTGCGGCACATGTAATTAATGTACGATCAGTGAGTGGCAAACCTTCAATCATTAAAAAGTCACAGCATCCAAAAACAATAACAACAATAATAATGAAGACTTAAGGGTTTGCATGGTGGACATGATCAATGCGTGGGAGGTGTGCGGTAACACAATGTGAATGATATCTCTTTAGTGAGTTGTGTGGTTCAGAGAAGAACCAGTAGTTTTAACTTGACGTTTCGAACAGTATACTCTGCTCAGCATCCACTACTTAAACTACAACACCAGAAAGAGTCCGGCAGTCTCCTGATGACGAACAGAACATACTGTCGGAAACGTCAAGTTTGGTGTGAATTTGTTGTCCTCTCATCATGCAATTTAACCAGCTTTTTTGTATGACACATACCTGTTTGAGCCGGACCACAGACGTACGAGTTTTGAGCGTAGTAGCACTCCATATCAACTGCCGGGCAGGGATTGGAATTACATGGATTGGCTACAAACGAACAAACAAACAAACAAAATCAAGCAATCATGCAGCAAGAGACAATTTTGTGCACGAAACAAGATACAAAACACACCGATACAGAAAAATGGGTTGAATCGTGGAACTCACACTCAGAAAACTATTTCACGACCAAAAAAAAAAACACATCAGAATTGGCAACTTCAAATTACATGCTCTGTGTAAAACAGTAGTGTGAATGATCGACAATCAGACACTTTGTTGAAAACGAATACAATTCTGTTAAAGAAATTTTAAAATTCAAATATTGTTACATCACGGAATATATGCAATAAAAAGATCCTAGATGTACTGTTTCCAGAGATATACTAGTTATTGGGGGGGAAAAGTCTGAAAATAGGCTGGGGTTCCGGAGCTACCTCTTGGGGCAGCTCTCAGGCTAGTGACTGCTAAGTGCATCTTGGAATATTCTCACACCATCTGTGTGTGAAACAACATAACATTGGCATTTTGTACTGACTGTAAGACCTTATCCCCAGCTCGAAAGAGGGGGTCCATTGTAAAATGGTTTGCCACCAGTTGGGTTTGATTAAAAAGATATGTCTTACCCGAAACTTTGTACTCTGCATGTTTTTTGTTTTTTTTCCCAGCTTAATTTTCTCCAAATGTGCATAATTCACTCAGGACCCAGAATTTATGTTCGTCATAACTGGGATTTCACATTGACCAATTTGGTATTAGCAAGAATCACTCTACATGTATCCATCTGTGAACACCTGAGAAGGTAATATCCACATCTTGTTAATTTCCATCAGTCCTTGTGGAAAAAGGCATGTGGAAAAAGGCACACCTGGATTTTTCTAGGCGTGTGATATTTCTAGGCATGTGATTTTTCTAGGCGTGTGATTTTTCTAGGCGTGTGTTTTTTCTAGGCGTGTGATTTTTCTAGGCGTGTGATTTTTCTAGGCGTGTGATTTTTCTAGGCGTGTGATTTTTCTAGGTGTGTGATTTTTCTAGGCGTGTGATTTTTCCAGGCGCGTAATTTTTCTAGGTGTGTGATTCTGTAGACCAAGCTGGGACTGAACAATCTGGTATTTGTTTTTATAACATTCATCTTGGTTTACAGTAAAGCCGTTTTCTCTTCACAGCCGTACTTTTTTTTATGAAGTGTAATTATGCCGTAAATGTATGCCAAGGTGTGTCATACAGAGGCATTCAGGCGTGTGATTATTCGCACTTCTCAGGAAGCATTTAGGTGTGTGATGGTGTGGGGGTGTGATCGCACGCCTCAAATCAGAAGGACTGTTTCCATGCGCTTAAAAACACTACATGTTTCATGTACTTACGAGTGGCACATATAGATTCAACCCAAGCTGATGTACAGGTGCACATGAATGATGTTCCCACGACATTACAGGTACCTCCATTCTGGCACGGAGAAGGGTTGCAAGGGCCTCCGGCAACAGCTGATCAATGAGAACAAAAACAAACCAATAATAATAACAACACAGTCCTTTCAGTCTTGACCATTAAAGGATCGACATATTCAAATACATGTGTCACAACCCGAGTATCGACGAGACGCAAAACTTGAGCCAGCCATGACATAAAGTCATGTAAGCAAATTAATGTCTCGATTCTCAATGATTATCTGGTTCTGCCACTCTTTACTTGTATTAACGTCCCAAGACTTTTTTCACATGAAGCGATAATTTCCAATTACTGACATGTGAGCCTCAGGCATCGACGGTGCGTTCAAATGTATCTCCTAATGGGCTCCCTAGTCTGGGGCCCAGACCAACGGATCTATTTCTGATGAATCTAAGATTCGTCAGAAATAAAAGTCAGAATCTTTTGGTCAGGGAACCAGACTATGGTCTCCCCCAACTCTCCCTTTCTTGTCGGTGAGGGGGTACTTGTGAACGGCGCCCATATAAACGTATATACATCTGTTGATGTACATATACATGTACATATGTCACAGTGTCAGAAATATCTGTTACAAAAGAAGGAAACATTACCTGTGACTACAATGTTAATTTGGCAGGTCCGTTGTTGGGTTGTACCAGATTGAAAAGCCGTAACGCTGACAGGCACAGTGGACTGACCACTTGCCGGAACAATCACTTGGTATGATCTTGGGGTGCTTATTTGAACATTATTAGCGACGTAAGTGTAGAATACTTGTTGTGTGTTGCCAGATGCGGTTGGTTCCGGTATATTAACGCTGACAGCTGAGCCGGGTGTGCCAGAAACACTTACTTGAGGCTGACATGTGATTTGGAAACCTATCGGTGCAAAGATAAAGGAAAAAAATAGTTTAGTAGGATAATATGAATCTATCATGCTCAATTAAAGGGAATATACATCATTTGTTCTTGCTGTAATTTTCACAATTTTGGGGTCGGTCAATATTTTATAACAAATACTGTTACACTGATCTGTTTAAAGTTTTGTGTTCATAGATGCTGGAAAAACCAAAAGAAAAAAGAGCTGTCCTTGTAGTATGGTTCGCTGACCCTACTTCAGTCATAACGGAACTATCAGGCAATTGTCAGGTCAGGAAACCAGACTAGTTGGCTTGCACACATTCACGGATGTGTAACCAATTGCAAACAAAATGTGCATCTAACGAAATTTGGTAAACTTGGGGCAGTACTTGGCAAAGTCAGTTTTTGCAACGATGGTCAGCTGGCTATCATTGGAATATTGATATAAAAATTCCACTTTTCTTGAAAATGACAGCACACCAGGTGCCATGATTTGACCGGATGCTTGAGACTATTATTCGTGCACTTACAGTCAAGTGAGGTTCTTCATTTAACAATTGCTGACTGCTGTGATGTGGGATATGACGTTTTGAACACCCGAAGGGCGCATAGCACCCGAGGCGAAGCCAAGGTGCTATGCACCCTGAGGGGGTTAAAAATGTCATATCCCACATCACACAGTCGACAATTATTTTGTTATAGCTCTGTCTTGGAATTTTTGGGATTTTGATGTAAAAATAACGAAAACAAATAGTGGTAAAAACACAACAATCAAATGGCAACTTGCATGCATGTCGCGTGCTCGAACAGCTGATCGTCTGTTGTTCGTTGCTCGCACTCATGCGTGAAAACATGGTGAAAATAGCGTGGGTACCAACAATTCAAGCATTTCACACCGTATACGTACCCTATGTGCAAAATCATAGCACACTCCTGCCTCACATACGTGATATCCCACGGGGAGTGTGCCATGACTTTTTATAAACCTAACACGTGATCGTTCTAGGCCAATGAAAATACAGTATTCAAGACTATTCAAGACCTATCCTGGTTTGTACAAGTACATACTTGTGATTTGAGTACATGTACTGCCACTGAATCCTGCAGCACAGGTACATGAGAAAGTATTTCCATTGACGTTGCAGGTACCGCCATTCTGACATGGATTGATGGCACATGGGTTGACACCAGCCGCTGAAAGAGATCAAAGGCTTCATTATTCACATTGTTAAACACTATTATAGTCTCCAGCAAGCTAACATTAAGTGGTGCAACATGGTGCGGTGTGACTGCTTAACAGAGCTCCTTGGAAGAGATACTCCGCATGTTCACATACAAGAACACTGGTTAATCACACGCATAGGAATCCTGCAGCACAGACGCATACATGTGTAAGCATTTGTACCGTCAACACATGTACTGCCATTTCAGACATGGCGAGCTTGCGCACAAGTTAGAAGTGGTAGCTGGAAAAAAATTCAAGTATTTACTTATTGACATTTGTTACCCTTTCCAGAAGAAAAGGAGTCACATTCTTTGTAGCTGTGCTCCTGAGGAAAATTCCACACAGTAAACTCAAATAGCTTATTCAAGAACATGTTCACCATACATAGTTCAGTGTCAAATTCAATGTATGCCCTAGTCACTGTTGGCAATTTCTTAAATCAGAGAATCAAATGTTAATTATGTATACTTTCTGTTTTGCTCATTTTATCAGATGCCATCACATATCCCGAGTTTGTATGGACTCCGTGCGCCAACAACAGAGGGCGCTTTTAAACCTTTTAGAGAGCCCAGTAGGCAGGTGACACTGTGTGTACATACTGGTGCGTGTTTATGGTGTAAATCGAGGACACACACGTGCGACATCATCAATGAATCGAGGACAAAAACTGAAGTGAGGACTCCTCGGTTGGAAAACATGTTCAAAACCAATGAGAGCTGTTGCGAAAAAGTTAGAGTACAGTAAACTCCGTATAAACCGTCATATCGTATAAACCGTCATATCGCTTAAATCGGCCGTCTGACGAAAGTCCTGATTGTCTCTAATACATTTCCATTGACATTTTCATTTCTAAGTCGGCCTGTAAGCCGCCATTTCGCCTATGTCGGCGTGTTACTTTCAATCCCATTTCCTCAAAACCACACAAAATCCTCTGTATAAGTCGGCATCATGCTCTGCGGTTTGTAAGAAGTGTCGAGTGAAAAGTCCCACACACTGCTAACTGACATCTGTTTATCAATGGCACGGCCCGTGATTGATGCATCGGCCAGCACGTGTACACTAATCGCAAGTGTTCACTGTTTCATGCACAGTCTGTACATTGTCTGCATCGTTCGCTTACACGAAGTACATGTCCATTCCGTACCATCGATACCAGTACCCCCTCTCCACTGCACGCATGCACTCTGTTCATTTTGGGGGTCCCCTTATTGTACCAGTACCATGCACACATTTAATTCGTGACTGTACACGTACGTACGTGCACAATGTACACTACATGTACATGAACGTACAGTATGCAAGCGATCTGTATATCCTACCACTGTTAACGCTAGCCGGCCGCGCCGTCCTTGCTTCGTACGTATGTACATGTACATGCATGACTTTCTGTGATCAATACCACAGCTTGTTTGTGATGATAAACATTGAGGATATATTTGCTGGAATCATCCATGGATGTAGAAATAAACCAGGGTAAATCAAAGCCTTTGAAATTTAGCCATTTTGTTTGCATGATCCAGATACAGATGCGCATAGGCCATTAATTCAATCTATTTTTTTCACTCCGTGATTCAATTTGTGTATTTGTGTAAGTCGGCAAAATGACGACTTGCAGCAGAAGCCGACATTCGTGTAAGTCATCACAAATTCTCTGGTCCCGAGAGTGCCCTCTTAGCCGGAGTTTACTGTATAAACAAAGGAAGAGGAACAAAAGAAAATCCTTGATTTACACCATAAACAAACGTGTGTGTTCATGCGCGTGTAGCGCGAAGTACGTACTACTGATTTTATTCTAAATACGCACGCAGCCATGGTGTCTTCGCGTGCACGGATGAGCGTCAGGCATCGACGGTGCGTTTTAATGGATCTCCCAACGAGCTCACTTGTCTGGTTCCCAGACCAACGGATCTATTTCTGATGAATCTAAGATTCGTCAGAAATAAAAGTCAGAATCTTTTGGTCAGGGAACCAGACTATGGTCTCCCCCAACTCTCCCTTTCTTGTCGGTGAGGGGGTACTTGTGAACGGCGCCCATATAAACGTATATACATCTGTTGATGTACACATACATGTACATATGTCACAGTGTCAGAAATATCTGTTACAAAAGAAGGAAATATTACCTGTGACCACAATGTTAATTTGGCAGGTCCGTTGTTGACTTGAACCACCATCAAAAGCCGTAACGCTGACAGGCACAGTGGACTGACCACTTGCTGGAGCAGTCACTTGGTATGCTCTTGGGTTGCTTATTATAACATTATTAACGCGGTAATTGTAGAATACTTGTCCTGTGTTGCCAGATGCCGTTGGTTCCGGTATATTAACGTTGACAGTTGAGCCGGCTGTGCCAGAAACACTTACTTGAGGCTGACATGTGATTTGGAAACCTATCGGTGCAAAGATAAAGGAAAAAAATAGTTTAGTAGGATAATATGAATCTATCATGCTCAATTAAAGGGAATATACATCATCTGTTTTTGATGTAATTTTCACAATTTGGGGGTTAATATTTTATAACAAATACTGTTACACTGACCTGTTTAAAGTTTTGTGTTCATAGATGCTGGAAAAACCAAGGAAAAAAGAGCTGTCCTTGTAGCCTGGTTCCCCGACCCTACTTCAGTCATAACGGAACTAGAAGGGAATTGTCAGGTCAGGAAACCAGACTAGCTGGCTTCCATCCATTCATTTGGTAAATTGGGGCAGTATTTGGAAAAGTCTTCTTTTTTTTACAACGATGGTCAGCTGACCATCGTTGGAAAATTTATATAAAAATTCCACTTTTCTTGAAATGACAGCACACCAGGTGCCATGCGCTTACATATTGGCACTTATGGGTTACCGGGAACAAAGGGCAACAATAGGGACAATGGCAGGCGCAGATCCAGAGAGGGGGGGGGGGGGTTCAACCCCTCCCTCCCCCCCCCCAGCTCTGTCAATTTTTTTTTTTCATAGAAATTCCTGAAAATATATCTGAACCCCCCCCCCCCCCCCCCCCCCCCCCGCTCCGACACCCAATTTGTTTTTACTAGTAATAATGTCCGCCTTGCACAAAAAATGTACAGAGCCAGCTTGGTTGGCGGGTATATTTACATTCTTCTGTGACATAGTGTTAGTAATCGTCGAATATGAACAGCGCCCCCATTAAAAATATGGTACGAGCCTTTAGGTCCAGTGCTCCCTAATGAGACCAACACTGAAGCCACTTGGAAACAGACTGATCAATGTAATCTTTGGAACAAATGACTTTTAGATTATTAAACATGTACTTTCACGGAGTGAAGGCTATGTCTATTCCGGGTCAAGTCCCTTCTCAAAAGGACTTGGATTCAGACCTTTTGCAAATACCTGGACAATCTCAAGATACAATTTTTGTCTGATAAAGAGTATTCATATCACACACTGTCTACTCTCTCAGCCTTATTTTCCGCATAATCTAACTCAGATAAAAAATGTATGCCTTTTTGGCCTGCAGGCTTTAAGTGCAGTCAGTCCACTCATAGTTCTGTGCATTTTTTTTCTGACAGTGTTACATAATAACACCTTCAATATACCACAATCCCTGAATGTCTCAAATGGAAACAGCTCTAGAAACAATCTGGTAAAGGAGACTAATGAGCATTTCATATTGGCAACACTTTTGCAAAAGTAAACAAATTGTGCATGCCCTACCTAGCAAACTCTAAATAGCTTTTCAAATACGAGCTATTGGGTTGCAAACCTATCCTGGTTTGAACATGTACATACCAGTCGTGGGAATAGTGCATGTAGTCCCACTGAATCCTGCGGCACAGGTACACGAGAAAGTATTTCCATTGACGCTGCAGGTACCGCCATTCTGACATGGATTGATGGTACATGGGTTGGTACTCCCACTCGCTGAAAGAGATCAAAGGCTTCATTATTCACATTGTTAAACGCTATTCGTTATATTACATTGAAACAGTATAATCTACTCAACTGGACTTACTAATTTTCAAAACTTGCGACGGATTCATGTCCCGTCCTGGATGCTTCTACAGGCCGACTGGTCTAATGGTGGCAAATGGTTGATGACCCATGACAGGGTCAAAGAAATAGTAAGTCCAGTTGACTAATTTATATTATATAATAGACAAACAGATCCTTGTCATTTGATTGGTGGAACACACATCACATGACATTCGTTATTGCTCCCATAAAAGTCCCATTCGCCCATGGGGGATGGGAAGTACTATTCAACAGTTAGGATCATCCTTGTTCCATGACGCGGTATTTGTGTGCAAATGCATACAGGTGTGCGCGAACTGGCTGTAACTCCAGGATCACCGCAAGGTTCTGTGAGGCTGTATGGGGTTAACTCCAGGATCACCGCAAGGTTCAGTAAGGCTATATTGGGTTAACTCCAGGATCACGGCAAGGTTCTGTGAGGCTGTATGGGGTTAACTGCAGGATCACCGCAAGGTTCTGTGCGGCTGTATGGGGTTAACTCCAGGATCACCGCAAGGTTCTGTGAGGCTGTATGGGGTTAACTCCAGGATCACTGCAAGGTTCTGTGAGGCTGTATGGGGTTAACTCCAGGATCACCGCAAAGTTCTGTGCGGCTGTATGGGGTTAACTCCAGGATCACCGCAAGGTTCTGTGAGGCTGTATGGGGTTAACTCCAGGATCACCGCAAGGTTCTGTGCGGCTGTATGGGGTTAACTCCAGGATCACCGCAAGGTTCTGTGCGGCTGTATGGGGTTAACTCCAGGATCACCGCAAGGTTCTGTGAGGCTGAATGGGGTTAACTCCAAGATCACTGCAAGGTTCTGTGAGGCTGTATGGGGTTAACTCCAGGATCACCGCAAGGTTCTGTGCGGCTGTATGGGGTTAACTCCAGGATCACCACAAGGTTCTGTGAGGCTGTATGGGGTTAACTCCAGGATCATCACAAGGTTCTGTGCGGCTGTATGGGGTTAACTCCAGGATCACCGCAAGGTTCTGTGAGGCTGTATGGGGTTAACTCCAGGATCACCGCAAGGTTCTGTGCGGCTGTATGGGGTTAACTCCAGGATCACCGCAAGGTTCTGTGAGGCTGTATGGGTTTAACCCTGGGATCACCGCAAGGTTCTGTGCGGCTGTATGGGGTTAACTCCAGGATCACCGCAAGGTTCTGTGAGGCTGTATGGGGTTAACTCCAGGATCACCGCAAGGTTCTGTGAGGCTGTATGGGGTTAACTCCAGGATCACCGCAAGGTTCTGTGCGGCTGTATGGGGTTAACTCCAGGATCACCGCAAGGTTCTGTGAGGCTGTATGGGTTTAACCCCAGGATCACCGCAAGGTTCTGTGAGGCTGTATGGGGTTAACTCCAGGATCACCGCAAGGTTCTGTGAGGCTGTATGGGGTTAACTCCAGGATCACCGCAAGGTTCTGTGCGGCTGTATGGGGTTAACTCCAGGATCACCGCAAGGTTCTGTGAGGCTGTATGGGGTTAACTCCAGGATCATCACAAGGTTCTGTGCGGCTGTATGGGGTTAACTCCAGGATCACCGCAAGGTTCTGTGCGGCTGTATGGGGTTAACTCCAGGATCACCGCAAGGTTCTGTGAGGCTGTATGGGGTTAACTCCAGGATCACCGCAAGGTTCTGTGAGGCTGTATGGGGTTAACTCCAGGATCACCGCAAGGTTCTGTAAGGCTGTATGGGGTTAACTCCAGGATCACCGCAAGGTTCTGTGAGGCTGTATGGGGTTAACTCCAGGATCATCACAAGGTTCTGTGCGGCTGTATGGGGTTAACTCCAGGATCACAGCAAGGTTCTGTGCGGCTGTATGGGGTTAACTCCAGGATCTCCGCAAGGTTCTGTGAGGCTGTATGGGGTTAACTCCAGGATCACCGCAAGGTTCTGTGCGGCTGTATGGGGTTAACTCCAGGATCATCACAAGGTTCTGTAAGGCTGTATGGGGTTAACTCTAGGATCACCACAAGGTTCTGTGAGGCTGTATGGGGTTAACTCCAGGATCATCACAAGGTTCTGTGAGGCTGTATGGGGTTAACTCCAGGATCACCGCAAGGTTCTGTGCGGCTGTATGGGGTTAACTCCAGGATCACCGCAAGGTTCTGTGAGGCTGTATGGGTTTAACCCCGGGATCACCGCAAGGTTCTGTGCGGCTGTATGGGGTTAACTCCAGGATCACCGCAAGGTTCTGTGAGGCTGTATGGGGTTAACTCCAGGATCACCGCAAGGTTCTGTGAGGCTGTATGGGGTTAACTCCAGGATCACCGCAAGGTTCTGTGCGGCTGTATGGGGTTAACTCCAGGATCACCGCAAGGTTCTGTGAGGCTGTATGGGGTTAACTCCAGGATCACCGCAAGGTTCTGTGAGGCTGTATGGGGTTAACTCCAGGATCACCGCAAGGTTCTGTAAGGCTGTATGGGGTTAACTCCAGGATCACCACAAGGTTCTGTGAGGCTGTATGGGGTTAACTCCAGGATCATCACAAGGTTCTGTGCGGCTGTATGGGGTTAACTCCAGGATCACCGCAAGGTTCTGTGCGGCTGTATGGGGTTAACTCCAGGATCACCGCAAGGTTCTGTGAGGCTGTATGGGGTTAACTCCAGGATCACCGCAAGGTTCTGTGAGGCTGTATGGGGTTAACTCCAGGATCACCGCAAGGTTCTGTGCGGCTGTATGGGGTTAACTCCAGGATCACCACAAGGTTCTGTGAGGCTGTATGGGGTTAACTCCAGGATCACCACAAGGTTCTGTGCGGCTGTATGGGGTTAACTCCAGGATCACCGCAAGGTTCTGTGCGGCTGTATGGGGTTAACTCCAGGATCACCACAAGGTTCTGTGAGGCTGTATGGGGTTAACTCCAGGATCACCGCAAGGTTCTGTGAGGCTGTATGGGGTTAACTCCAGGATCACCGCAAGGTTCTGTGCGGCTGTATGGGGTTAACTCCAGGATCACCGCAAGGTTCTGTGAGGCTGTATGGGTTTAACCCCGGGATCACCGCAAGGTTCTGTGCGGCTGTATGGGGTTAACTCCAGGATCACCGCAAGGTTCTGTGAGGCTGTATGGGGTTAACTCCAGGATCACCGCAAGGTTCTGTGAGGCTGTATGGGGTTAACTCCAGGATCACCGCAAGGTTCTGTGCGGCTGTATGGGGTTAACTCCAGGATCACCGCAAGGTTCTGTGAGGCTGTATGGGGTTAACTCCAGGATCACCGCAAGGTTCTGTGAGGCTGTATGGGGTTAACTCCAGGATCACCGCAAGGTTCTGTGCGGCTGTATGGGGTTAACTCCAGGATCACCACAAGGTTCTGTGAGGCTGTATGGGGTTAACTCCAGGATCATCACAAGGTTCTGTGCGGCTGTATGGGGTTAACTCCAGGATCACCGCAAGGTTCTGTGTGGCTGTATGGGGTTAACTCCAGGATCACCGCAAGGTTCTGTGAGGCTGTATGGGGTTAACTCCAGGATCACCGCAAGGTTCTGTGAGGCTGTATGGGGTTAACTCCAGGATCACCACAAGGTTCTGTGAGGCTGTATGGGGTTAACTCCAGGATCATCACAAGGTTCTGTGCGGCTGTATGGGGTTAACTCCAGGATCACCGCAAGGTTCTGTGCGGCTGTATGGGGTTAACTCCAGGATCACCGCAAGGTTCTGTGAGGCTGTATGGGGTTAACTCCAGGATCACCGCAAGGTTCTGTGAGGCTGTATGGGGTTAACTCCAGGATCACCGCAAGGTTCTGTGAGGCTGTATGGGGTTAACTCCAGGATCACCGCAAGGTTCTGTGAGGCTGTATGGGGTTAACTCCAGGATCACCGCAAGGTTCTGTGCGGCTGTATGGGGTTAACTCCAGGATCACCGCAAGGTTCTGTGAGGCTGTATGGGGTTAACTCCAGGATCACCGCAAGGTTCTGTGAGGCTGTATGGGGTTAACTCCAGGATCACCGCAAGGTTCTGTGCGGCTGTATGGGGTTAACTCCAGGATCACCACAAGGTTCTGTGAGGCTGTATGGGGTTAACTCCAGGATCATCACAAGGTTCTGTGCGGCTGTATGGGGTTAACTCCAGGATCACCGCAAGGTTCTGTGCGGCTGTATGGGGTTAACTCCAGGATCACCGCAAGGTTCTGTGAGGCTGTATGGGGTTAACTCCAGGATCACCGCAAGGTTCTGTGAGGCTGTATGGGGTTAACTCCAGGATCACCACAAGGTTCTGTGAGGCTGTATGGGGTTAACTCCAGGATCATCACAAGGTTCTGTGCGGCTGTATGGGGTTAACTCCAGGATCACCGCAAGGTTCTGTGCGGCTGTATGGGGTTAACTCCAGGATCACCGCAAGGTTCTGTGAGGCTGTATGGGGTTAACTCCAGGATCACCGCAAGGTTCTGTGAGGCTGTATGGGGTTAACTCCAGGATCACCGCAAGGTTCTGTGCGGCTGTATGGGGTTAACTCCAGGATCACCGCAAGGTTCTGTGCGGCTGTATGGGGTTAACTCCAGGATCACCGCAAGGTTCCGTGAGGCTGTATGGGGTTAACTCCAGGATCACCGCAAGGTTCTGTGAGGCTGTATGGGGTTAACTCCAGGATCACCGCAAGGTTCCGTGAGGCTGTATGGGGTTAACTCCAGGATCACCGCAAGGTTCTGTGAGGCTGTATGGGTTTAACCCCAGGATCACCGCAAGGTTCTGTAAGGCTGTATGGGGTTAACTCCAGGATCACCGCAAGGTTCTGTGAGGCTGTATGGGGTTAACTCCAGGATCACCGCAAGGTTCTGTGCGGCTGTATGGGGTTAACTCCAGGATCACCGCAAGGTTCTGTGAAGCTGTATGGGTTTAACCCCAGGATCACCGCTGGGTTCTGTGAGGCTGTATGGGGTTAACTCCAGGATCACCGCAAGGTTCTGT